CGAACTACATTTCCATCACTCCTCTAACTTCAAGTCATGCTATGGGTATAGCCATACATATGACCCATCCTGTCCCTTTTCCCCAAATACCCTCAAACCATGTGAAGAGTCCAAGTTGCACAAGAACCAAGGGAGTGGAGAACCTTTTGGACAGTGGGTCGTGGGGTTGGGAAGCTCAGACATGAAGCTTTCTACCACATCTGTCCAAGTCTCCCCAGCCACTTTTAACGTTTGGTGGGTGGATAACAATCTGGCCAAATTATACTCCAGATCTTTTAAGCCTGTCAGGCTTCTAACTCCTGCGGCCTGAGAGTTAAGGAAAGCATTGAGAATTCCAGTAAGTTCTTAGATCAGTGTCAGCTTTTAAGATTTGTGGGTTTTTTTTGGGGGGGGGTATCCCTTATGCGTTCATAGCTTTGTAAACAAGCATGCATACAGAGGTGTTATTTCCATGGCTGTTTCTATGACTGATCAGCTCTCCATTAAATGTCTAGCTGGTCTGCTGACTGTCCTGAATTCAGTTCCTCAAGCTGTGAGTCTTTGATTCCAGACTGTGGCTGCCACCTCTTCCCATGCATGAGCCTCAGGGCAGGTCTTATGGACACACTGATGATGCTGGTCCCAGTGGAGTTGCCAAACAACTATTGGCAGTCCAGGAACCCGTTATTCTCCAGGGAAGAGGTCTTCAAAAGGGAAGAGGTCTCTGATTGGCCCTTGGGTGCTCAGTTTATGAGGTTGCAGAAGAGAGCTTTAGGACACTATGAGGTACAGGCTATACCAGTTTATTTGTAAAGAAAAGCAAAGGCCAGGCGCTGGTGGCTCACACCTGTAATCCTAGCTCCTCAGGAGGCTGAGATCTGGAGGATCGTGATTCAAAGCCAGCCCGTGCAGGAAAGTCTGTGAGACTCTTATCTCCAATAAACCACTAGAAAAACCAGAAGTGGCACTGTGGCTCAAGTGGTAGAGCGCTCGCCTTGAGCTAAAGAGCTGAGAAACAGTGCTCAAGCCCAGAGTTCAAGCCCCATGACCGACCCAAAAAAAAAGAAAGAAAAGCGAAGGTCGGAAGATAGTATATACAACTCAGCCGTGGGATCGGCACAGCTGATAACAGATGTCACAAATGAGCAAATATCACAGCTATTTATTGTGGAAGACTAGGTTAGAGGGTTGACTCAAAATAAGCACTCCTCTTTAATCTGACACTTGGTACATCAAATCATTCTCATAGCTACAGAGTTTCATCAATTGGCCCACAGGTGACTCAAGGTTGTTCAGCTCATAGATATTTGATTATCCCCAGAAATGAAAGATGGATTCTGCCAGAGGCTGCCTTCAAGATTGGTGTCCACCCTTGAGATGTTTACTTTGCAGAAGAGTTACCTTCCCAAGAGCTTCCTCCCTCCCCACCCCAATCTCCAGAATAAGTCTTCCTTTCATTTCCCTTTTCAGTTCCAGAACAGAAAAAGCAGCTGGGCCAACACAGGAAGTGAGAGGGAAGGAGCTGTTCTTTTGCTCTTCTTTTTTTTTTTTTTTGGGGGTCCTGTCGTGGGGCCTGAACTCTGGGCCTGGGCACTGTCCCTCAGCTCTTCAGCTCAAGGCTAGTGCTCTACCACTTGAGCCACAGCGCCACTTCCGGCTTTTTTCTTTTTGCTTATGTGGTGCTGGGGAATCGAACCCAGGGCCTCATGCATGCAAGGCAAGCGCTTTACCACTGAGCCACCTTCCCAGCCCCTCTTTTGCTCTTCTTACTAAACGGTATAACGTTGACGCAAGTGTAAGGCTTAACTCAAAGAAAATGATGTCCGTGTGCTTTTAATCAAGCAATTTGTTAACACATCTTGTTTGTTCCTGAATTCCTTGCTGCTGGTTCCCATGTCTCTTTTCTCTGATCTGTACATGTGATGTAGTCTCCACTATTTTACCATGTACACTAGGGCTTTTTCAAGAGTGAAATTCTCTGTACTTTTCTTCTCTCCCACTGTTTCTCTCCCTCTTTCTCTCTCTCCCTCTTGTATTTTTAATAGTTGGGAATGAGATTATGTTTTCTTGTTTCAGGGTTGTTCTCTAGAAAAGGGAAATATTTCACCCCAGCCTGTTTTTTACTGGAAGTTGCCTAATAGTTTTTCTGAGGAAGACGAACCATTGAAGCTCTCATATAACTGATATATATATATATATATATATATATATATGCATATATATATATATATTTATATGAAAGTATTCAAATTTACTTGTTAAAATGTTACCATTTCACAGATGCTGTGTTCTCTCTTCCCTACAGAACAATTTTTAATTTCCCCTTTGTTTTCTACAGAATATTTCAGAATGATATTTCTATATCTTTAGCAGCTATAGTACTTTCAGTACTTAATGAGAAACATGGCTGGTCAGATTAGGTTAATTCCTTTATGATATGGCTGTATCCATGGTTTTTTTTTTGGTTTTTTTTTTTTTTTTTTTTGGTCATGGGGCTTGAACTCTGGGCCTGGGCGCTGTCCCTTAGCTCTTCAGCTCAAGGTGAGCGCTCTAACACTTGAGCCACAGCGCCACTTCCATGGCTGTATCCATGTTTTAATGATGAAAACTTTGCACGTTCTCTTTTAACATCATTGGCAGGAATGGAGCGTCATTTTCCACATGGCTAATTTCCATCCATCCTTTCCCTCCTCTCATCATGTGTTTCTTAGGTGTTGTTTTCTCTTTTTTGTTGTTTTATTCTCCCCATGGTCCTAGTAGTATGATTATATTTTTATTTTTTAGTTCTGAGCTATCTTACAGTATTTCAATGATTACTCCCATTGATTGATTATTCAATCAATTACTCCCATTATTTGTTTCTGAATATGATACTTACAAACATATCAAGAGAACAAATAATAAGGAACAAGCAAATCCTTTAACCTGAGTTATTTTAAGACCCAGGGTCCTTTTAAATGAGAAAAGTACTCTGTTCAATTAATGTGATGTGAAATACATAACCAAACACATTAACAATCTCGTTTAATTTGCAGGCCCTTCATTCTACCTTCAGTTTAATAACCTTGTGCCTTAGTGGACATAGAGGTTAGAGTTCCAGTATCCATCAGACCATTTCTCTACTTCAATTTTAATAAACCAGTGTCATTAGATTTGCTAGAAAGAAATTAGCTAATATGAGCTAATTGCATCACAATCCCAAATGCTATAATGATATGTGGAGATTGGCTCAACGCTCAGATCCTTGCATGCTCACGAGACAAATTAGATTATAATTGACTTGATAGTTACCAGTGATTGCAACAAAAATATAAGAAAATAATACCAGATGAGGACCTTGTCACCTCCTTATCCTGGACTTTTGAAGTATATAATTAATGCAGCATTAATAGAAATAGTAGAACTAAGTAATAGAAAACTTAAAAACCTAATAGAATTTAAAAAAATTCACAAATATTAGAAGTGCTGTTTTATCAGAGATGACTTGCATGGTGGTTTTGAGTAGTTATTTTTGCTGTTGTTCTATTTTTACCTAAATTTGGGGTATTTGTTCTAATTACATCATTAGTGTCTCCTCCCTGGTCTTAAAGTGTCTCTGATAGCTTTACAGACCTTGCTTGCTTTCTTCATTCACATTTCAGAACTTTTCAAGAGCTCCATCACACCTTTACCATGACAAAATGGCTCCAGATCCCCTTTCTCCCTCTACAGCCCAACCCTCTGATGCCATCCCTGTCCTCTCAGAGCTGATTTTTTTTCTTTTTGTGTTTCTCTGCATTCTTTTTCAATGCTCTCTTTCAGCCCTGTTGGTATTTCTTCCGTAAAGGAGCCAGGCTCTTGACCTTTCTGAGCTTCAGATCACATTCCTTTACTATATCTCATGTCTTGAGGAGCAGATATGTGACTTAGAGTTTCAGAAATCTGTGTTCACACAGACATAGCAGTTTCCCTCTGTTTGTTTTAAGTGTCTGTGCTACACAAAACCCTCTCTTCAGAGAAAGCAAAGGAAATGGCCATTCATAAAGGAACCCACAGTATTGACAACAAACAGAAACTGGATGTGTCATTACTTAGAAACCTACAACTAAATACTCAACAGCTGTGGCCAATGGTGAAAACGCCACATACATTGGACATCGAATAGCCACAGATCAGAGCCATGGCCATGATATTTAAAAAATTTTGCAATTGTAATGATTATATGCTGTAATTTTTTTAACAATTTGAAATTATTTGTAAAATGTTTCAGTGGAATTTTAAGTTGGAGGCCACAGGGTCAAGAAACAAAATGTAGTGCCTGAAACAGAAAAGGTCTTAAAATTATATACAAAAATGATTTTATCTCTTTACTTACTTGGTAATTTGACCAGTTACTACATTTATGTGGCTTCAGAGATCAAGTGAAAAACAGCCAGAGGAAGATCAGTTATCTTCCAGGCCTCTCTAATGCCTAGGTTTAAAAATATAATGGAAATTGGTTTAAAGGAGTGGGAAAAAAAACAGTCAGTTCCTCATGAGAAATTTTGGTTTTCAGCCTCTGTTTCAATCATAGTGGTTACTCAGGGATGTGGTAAACATGATGATATCGATACTGGATCTTATGATAAATGATGTTTCATACTTTTAGCCATAGGTGAGACCCCAAAATATATTCAAAAGTTAACTCCTATCAATCTATCAATTTCCCTCCCCACTTATTCTCCTCTTCAAGAATCCAATGTGTAGCCTACAAAATTATGAAGAGTGAAGGAAGGTGTGGTGGAGAAAGGATGGGTGAAAACGTTGAAAGGGACCACACTGATCAAGATATAGTATATCCGAAAATGGCTTTGTTAAATGGCAACGTTGTACAACTACTTAAAGCTATCTGAAAAGCTTAAAAAATATATGAAGTGAGAAAAGACGCCATCTTTTTAGAATGACTATGGACTTTTCAGACTAGGTTAGAAGAATGTCTTTTCAGATTTTCATTAAGATTACTTCAATCAAAATTGTTGAGCACACTCAGAATCTTAGCCGTATAAAAGTAAATATATTTTATTCAGCAGTATACAGAAATTAGGGCCCAAATGTCCTGCAGAAGCACCAGGGGCTGGGATGGTCATTTCCTTCTACGTACACTCGCTCCACGGCCCAGCCCTCATTATTCCACTGTGCCCCATGAAGAATCATCACCATGTCTATGAAATACTTTCCGAATATAAGCCATTGATACTATAAAAATACATGTCTGCAAAAATAAAAGTAGCCACAGGCTTATTCCCAAACACAGAGCATTTGTGGTTTAAGGCTCTTCCTGGGGGAGGAGCTTCCACTTCACCGAGAGGTCCAGTTCCTCATCAAAACCATCCAGCTCCTGTTCCTTGGAAAGCTCTAGAAAGACCTGAAAGGGATGAACGGGGAAAAGATGTCACATGGCACGGACTCCATGCTTAGATTTTTATGGACTGTGAAAAATCACTAGAATGAGCTCACCTGCTCCAGGGTGGACTGTGATAGGCTATAATCCTCCAGATCAAAGTTCTGTTTAACTGCGAGAAGATGAAACGGTGTTAGGCGTTTCTGTATTTTTTATATATAAATCACTCAGGAAAGGATGGAAGTAGCACTGTGGATCAATTGCTAGAGTACCAGTCTTGAGCAAAAGAAGCTCAGAGACAGTGCCCAGGCCCCCAGTTCAAGCCCCAGGACCAGCACACACATACACACACACACACACACACACACACACACACACACACACACACACACACACACACAGAAGTACTTGTGAGGTAGGTTTTATAGGGAGTAAATATCTAGGGCCTCTCTAAAAGCCATCACAACTTCTCCTAATGGGATTGAACATCCTTTCCTGTTGGCTTAAATAAACTTGGAATGATATAGCTGGAGTTAGGGTGAGGACCCAACAGATTGGAAATATGCTACCCAAAGTCCTAGGCTAGTGTAATTTTGGCATGAAACTGCAGGGGATGACCACATGGCTCAGAAAGGTGGAGTGTTCAGCTCAGAAGAGTGGAGAGAAGTTGTGTTACCGTGACCTTGGGTGCTGTTAGCAGGGGTCAGAGGGGCATTCTAGAACCAGATCTCATTCTCTTCTTTAGGGCAAGTAACAATCAAGCGAAAACATCACTGAGCCGAGACAAACAGAACAAGGAGGCATTCTGAAAAGCACCATTCAAAGCCACCAGTCCAATGGGATAACAAGGAACAGGCGATAACAGGGCCATGGTCATTTTACAGAACAACAGAGCCAGCAAGATTGCTTGGATGGCCAGATGGGAGCTGGGTTCTTTACAAACTGACCAGGCGACCTAACAAGATGGCAGTCCTTAGACAATTTAATTTTAAGTATGTTTGCATCGATGCTTCAAATGAAAGCATTCTCTGTGAAGGCAAGGATATTTAAGTTTTGACCTAGGTTATACCAATATACATATATATGCAAAATACATGAATAATAACACATAAAACAAAAGTAAAAATCATTCCCATGAGCCCCTGAGACACACAAACACAGGCTCCCTTCATCTCTTCTAGCTCTGGTACGCCTAAAATGCAAGTTAGGATTGTAACTCTTAAATTTAAGGCATTCTGTCACATTTCACTTTTACTGTGCAGATAGGTAAGTTTTGTGAGTTAGGATTTTTCCTCTTCCAGGATCTTATTCCAAAGACATAGTTCTTACCCTTTTCTAACTTGAAGAAAGCTTGGGCTAAAGGCCGCACATCTTCTACGGGCAACTTATAAACCATCAGAGAAGAGTATCTGGGAGGAAAGGAGAGAAGAGGAGAGGAGGGAACAGAGGAGAAGAGAGGGACATCCAGGGAGAATTATGATTATGTAAAGTTTAAATTATTAATACATTTTTGAAACAAAACGATTAGATTTATATGCTGGTCCAGCCAGCCACTTGTTAATTTGGTAATGCTAACTAACTTGCCTCTCTGTCCATTTCTTCTTGTTTTTTTTTTGAATGTTATTAATCTTACTAATTATTACAAGAATTACTTCCCAACAACGTTAATCACAGGTGGATTGAAAGAATATTTGGGCACTGCAGCCATCTCATTTACATAAATATGCCACATTGTAAGTCTACTAGAGAGCCCAAAGGATTTGCCTTTAGTGGAATTTAAAACATAGGAACAGGCAGCAAAAGATAGCAAAGTGGGCCCAGGGTCTGGCCTGAGAAGGCTTGTCAAAGTGCAGCTCTCTTCTGAAAAGTCTCCACTTCTTTTCTATAAAGAAAACTATCAATTCATTTACCAAGGTCTTTCTATAAGGCCAGACTCCTTCAAAACTTTTAAAAAAAATATCTCATGTTTCTTTAGAATGACAGCATCTACTTTGAAACATCTCTAGGTGTATAACACGTGATCTATCAACTGGAACCCCAGCTCCCTCGTCTCCAGTTTTTCTTCTACTAGCCAAGGAACGATCTTTCTTCTCTGCTTACTTCTTGAATGGCCACAAGTCAAGGTAACTCATACACAGTACCAGATCCAAGCCAGGAAGAAGCTTTACCGGTCTTGGCGAGCAGCCTGGGGGAAAAGCTTCAGGATTTCCTCATGGAGGGGTTCACCCTGTGCAGGGGTCTTCACCTTCATTTCCAGCAGGTAGTCTTTGCCAAATTTGCTTTTTAGGTGCTGGATAGAACCAATACACCTGGAATTGGGAAGGAGGACAGGGTCATATGGGCAAGGAGAAAGCCACTTAGGACAATGCTTGAGATCGTTGGTGTGCATGGTCTCAAAGCCTTTCCTGCTATGAAACCCATGTACAGCCATTCTGGCAGCTTGCAGTGATCTCTTCCTGTCCACAGGCAATGATGTCTCCTTGCCATACCCCTTGGAGGCCATGCGTGGCCTCGGGGCCAGACGCTCACCTCAGCCTTCCAGACACCATGATGGCGACACGATCACACACAGCCTCGGCCTCCGCCATGTAATGGGTGGTCAGGAGGGCGGCTCCCTCTGTGTTTCGAACGGTGGCTCGGATCGCCTGCCTGCGTTGCCAAGAGAGGATTTGGAAATGAGAAGATCTTTTTAAAATTATCCTTAAGTACTTGTACAAAGGAGTTGGCCGTTTCACAAAGCGGTTTATGGATCTATCTTGACCAATGTCACCCCCCTAGCCCTCCCTTCTTGCCCCTTCCCTTCCTCCTCCTCCTCCTCCTCCTCCTCCTCCTCCTCTTCCTCCTCCTCCTCCTCCTCCTCCTCCTTCTTCTTCTGTTGGTTGTGGGGCCTGATCTCTGGGCCTGGCCGCCGTCCCTCAGCTCTTTAGCTCAGGGCTAGCACTCTGCCACTTGAGCCACAGCACCACTTCTGGCTTTTTTATTTTGGCTTATGTGGTGCTGAGGAATCAAACCCAGGGCCTCATGCATGCGAGGCAAGCGCTCTACCACTGAGCCACCTTCCCAGCCCCCCTTACTCTTCTTAATTCTGTACCCCTCTTCATTTTCCCACCCCTGACCCCTTGATAAACTGGAAAGGGATGGAGCAAGGAATGCTCTACGGACACTAGTGTGACAATGAAGAGACCAGGTCCAGGAGGACTCATAAGAGGACAGGGAGAGCGAGGAAGGGAACAGCCAGGAAGGAGCTGTTTCACTGGAGACAGGCACTGAGGAGGATGCTTACAGAGTACAGTATTTACCACAAGCTTGCATTGATGGAGAAACACTGTGGAAAGAGGATTGCACATGAAAAGACAATGCAGAAGGAAACATACGGTGCAAAACTCAGCCACAGTAAGACGAAAATGAGTGCAGAAGAAAAAGACCGCAATGATAGCCATTTTTACAACTAATAGGAATGGCTCCTGTGCCATGTTCTGAACACTACGTGGCTGTGGGGTCCCTCATCAGCCTTGATCAATGATGCTGCTCAGAGAGAGTAGCTTCCGTCTGAGGCAGTGATTCTAATTCCTCCCGTGAAACACATGGTTATAAAATATTATCAGGGAAAGGTGTCATTTATTTTGTGCTAAGTATGTGTTTACTATTGATATTTAATTTTGTTTACCGTATTAAGAAATAGATTTAAGGGATCTTTTCTTGGGGGGGAAGGGTTGGTCGTGGGACTTGAACTCTGGGCCTGGGCACTGTTCCTGCACTCTTCAGCTCAAGGCAAGCGTTCTACCACTTGAGCCACAGGGCCATTTCCGGTTTTCTGCTGGTTTATTGGAGATAAGAGTCTCAGGGACTTTCCTGCCCGGGCTGGCTTTGAACCGTGATCCTCAGATCTCAGCCTCCTGAGTAGCTAGGATGACAGGCGTGAGCCGCCAGCGCCCCGCACGGGATCATTTTTAAGTGAGTGAAACAGCTCTCAACCTCACTGCCAGGCCCCTGCACTGGCTCTGAAGATAGAAAATGTGCCTCACCACATTTGCTGCTGCCCCTCGGGGTCCATGCCTGTGGATGGCTCATCCAGAAGCAGCACCGACGGGTTTCCCAGGATGCTTAGCGCAAAGCACAGCTGGAAAGAGAGGCATCACCCAACAGGTCTGTGGGGGTGCTCAGAGCATCCCGAAGTCTTATCCACTCTCCCTCTCTCTCTTGCCAGTCCTGGGGCTTGAACTCAGGGCCTGAGCGTTGTCCCTGAGCAACTTTTGCTCAAGACTAGCACTCTACCACTCGAGCCACAGCTTTTTTGTGTACGTAGTACTGAGGCAGCGAACCCAGGGCTTCATGCATGCTAGGCGAGCATTCTACCACCAAGCCACCTTCCCAGCTGCATACCTTTCTCTTCACTCCCTCTGCTAAGGTCTTCACGGGGGCCTTCAGGTGGTCCTGCAGCTTGAGCGCGTCCACCAGCCTGGGGGGAAGAGCAGCCCGGGCTCACAGTGAGCTAGACAGGCAGAGAGCTGATGGAGGACAGGACGGCAAGGGCAGGCACACGGGAGGAGAGCTCTGACATGCAGTTCGGGAAATCCTGGCTTAGTGATTGTGAGGACAGGTGCTACCGCATTCTGGTTTGAGGGCTCTGAAAATACACTGCCATCAGCTGAAAGACCGTAGGCACATACCACGAGATCTACCCATCAATGCCCTTTTCTTTCCATGTTTCATTTGAGGACTTTTTTTTTTTTTTTTTGGTTGGAACTGGGGCTTGAACTCTGGGGCTGGGCGCTCTCCCTGAGTTCTTCAGCTCAAGGCGAGCGCTCTACCACCATAGCACCACTTCCTGGTTTCTGGTGGTTTATTAGAGATAAGAGTCTCATGGACTTTCCTGCCTGGGCTGGCTTTGAACCGTGATCCTCAGATCTCAGCCTCCTGAGTAGCTAGGATGACAGGCCTGAGCCACCAGCTCCAGGCCTTGAGGACATTTTTTGTTAACACTTTGAAACCATTTCCTATATACTTCCCAGTGTGGGTTGGCATTCCGTGCCTTCCATCCTGAACTTCCTGTGCGACCTCTGCCCGCCCCCTGGATAGAGAACAGAACAGAACAGAACAGGTGCAGTACCGTGTGATGGTGACTTCCTTGTCACCTTTGCTCAGTCCCTTCACAGCTGCAAACACCTCCAGGTGTTCCCTCACTGTCAGGTTGGGCCACAGCACATTCTCCTGCGGGCAGTACCCCAGGAACCCCAGCGGGTCCCCTTCGCTGCTCCCTTTCAGCAGCACCTGTGGGTAGAAGTCACCATCAGAGCCCACATTCTTCAGTGCTTCTCTGAGGACCTCCGTGGCCACCGCCTCTTCATAAGCTTCGACACATGGAGAGGAGATCCAGAACCTAATGGAACTTAATCATCTGTAATGAATTTGTTTGCTTTAGGGAACAGTCACTAGGAGTCAATACAATTATGTGCACAATACAAAACAATTATGTGCACAACTATAACGGATTCTGTGTGGCACCCTGCCATCTTGGCCCCCATTCATGGCCAATGTTGGCATCACAATGAGAATGAAGCACATTAACTCAGTGACTCACTATTCAACTTCACTCTGATCAAATATTCCTGAGTAGTTTCTGCGTGACAAATTTTGTGCTCCCTGTTGATCCAGTGGAGAATGGAATGGCTGATGTTTGCTGATTTTTGATGAGTGAAACAGGAAATGAATAAGTAGAAGGAGTGAACGTGGGTCTGAAGTGGGGCTTGTGGAAATCGTGGAGCTGAGGTGAACAATAATGCAAATGTGGTTTTGATGATTAGAAAGCCTATCTGCTCAGAGGCCATTTCAACAGAGGAGGAAAAGGTGCAGGTATGGACGAGGCAGAGGCTAGAGATCTGGGGCAAAGAGCAAGAACAAAGCCCAGTGCAGGGTGAAACATCTTCTCCCCAAGTAGTGTGTTTTAATAGAGCTCTGCACTTGAGTCACTGAGCGTCTTGTGAAAGTCAGGGAGTATAAGTGTTTACTGTTATTCTGTTCTGTTTAAACTTCTACTCAAGATCCACACAGAACAAACCGGGAGCACAATGTTCCTTGGAAACTGTGTTTTACTTAGACTTCTTGATAAGGCTTGTGTGGATTCTGGTGATGATTTCGGATCGAATATAGAACATTCCTTGTTGATGCTTATGAAGACTCCAATAAACTATTCCTTTTAGGGTTTAATTTTTGTGTGCCTTTGGTAATAATGTTGGCACTTATTCTTCTGAGTACTGGATTTATTATTTCCATTATTTAATGACTGCATGATGCCTTGTTTTATAAAAATTTTAGCACCAGTCAGCGCCTGGTGGCTCACACCTTTAATCTTAGCTATTGAGGAGGCTGAGATCTGAGTAACCACCAAAAAGCTGCAAGTGGAACTGTGGTTGAAGTGGTAGAACACTAGAACAGAGCAACGAAGTTCAGGGACAGTGCCCAGATCTTGAGTTTAAGCCCCAGGATCAGCATACACACACACACACACACACACACACACACACACACACACACACACACACACACACACACACACACACACACACACACACACACAGAGTTATAGTATCTTGTAAATTTATTTTGAGCACAACTGGATAGTATATCTTCCATTCTCTTCACCTACCTGGCCAGCAGTTGGCTTCATGTCCCCAGTTATCACCTTGATGGATGTGCTTTTACCAGCCCCATTGTGTCCTAACAACCCTAAAATCTCACCTGAAAACAAACAAACAAAAAGTTACACTGACCATGAAGGAATTTGAATAGTACAATTAAGAATAAGAGTCCAGGGCTGGGAAGGTGGCTCAGTGGTAGAGTGTTTGCCTTGCATGCCTGAGGCCCTGGGTTCGATTCCTCAGCACCACATAAGCAAAAAGAAAAAAAAAGCCGGAAGTGCCACTGTAGATCAAGTGGTAGAGCGCTAGCCTTGAGCTGAAGGGCTGAGGGACAGCGCCCAGACCCAGAGTTCAGGCCCCACGACCGGACCAAAAAAAAAAAAAAAAAAGAATAAGAGTCCGTCTGGGCACCAGTAGCGTATGCTTGTAATCCTAGCTACTAAGGAAGTTGAGATCTGAGGATCATGGTTCAAAGCCAGCTCGGGCAGGAAAGACCGTGAGACTCTTATCTCCAATAAGCCATCAGAAAACCGGAAGTGGTGCTGTGGCTCAAGTGCTAGAGCGCTTGCCTTGAGCTGAAGAGCTGAGGATCAGTGCCCAGGCCCAGAGTTCAAGCCCCATGACAGACCAAAAAAAAAAAAGAAAGAAAGAGTCTGAAGGCTTACAATGTCCTAGCTATTTTTTCAATATAGTGTCTTATTTAATCTGTACAGCTGTCCTGAGAAGTCATCACATTCTATTTTTACATAGTTAGGGACAAAGCTCTCAAGAATCAAATTCACGTGGATAGAAAATGACAAAGCCAGCCATTCCTGTCTGCCAGGAGTGTCACGTTCTGTCCCCTGTAGTCCTGACCCCTATGCAACGATGACAGAAACTGAAATCCTCTAACACTTGCTGGCCTAGCCTTTAGTACAGGCTGCTACATGTCTAGCCAGTTCTCATGAGAACAACACAATGTTCGATATTCGATTATGTTCTTTTGATTGTAAAGTCATGATCTCAATGGTTCATTCTAATAGCTTGTGTTTTCTGTGTGGGTGTGACTGTTTCCCTATTCATGAGGTGAGTCAATCAACTTGACTTAGTGATGAGACTTAAAAGAAGCACGGAGGTCTTCCTGCTGTTGGGGTCTGCCTGGGAGCCAAGAGGGTCTCCTCAGAAGCCAGCAAGCCAATGTAGCCAAGCCTGTGCCCAACCTTTCCGAACACAGAAGGAGATGTTTCTGGTGGCTATCTTGTTTTTCCTCTTGGAAAAGCAATGCTTCCTCTTCCTGGCATATTCCTTGCGTAGACAGCTGGCAATAATGACTGGTGTCTGTAAAGGACAAATAAATTGTGTCAGATCTTTATGTGCTCCACCAACTTTGACAAAGCTCTGTCTTTTATGGGTGTGGTACCCTTTCCTGTCCAGCACAGATATTAAAGAAGTATTTCTCCTGAGGTCTTATGCTTCCTGGTTGTTCCCATAAACTAGCACTTGTTTTAGGAAAGAAGATACCAACATTCTGTTTTCTAACCATGATAGGAACACATGATTTTGTAGGGGCTAACGCAGAGCAGAGCAGGATCAAAGAGATTTAGAAAAGTATTAGATCATCCTTAAAGGGAAAAAAACCCCACAACAGTGCACCCTGAAATGGACTGTACTCTGATTTTAAGCCAGGTGCTTTCTCCAAAAGGCACCTGACTCAGTTTCTATGCCCTCCTACCTTCCTTCCTTCCTTCCTTCCTTCCTTCCTTCCTTTCTCTTTCTTTCTTTCTTCTTTCTTTCTTTCCTTTCTTTCTTTCTTTCTTTCTTTCTTTCTTTCTTTCTTTCTTTCTTTCTTTCTTTCTTTCTTTCTTTCTTTCTTTCTTTCTTCCTTCCTTCCTTCCTTCCTTCCTTCCTTCCTTCCTTCCTTCCTTCCTTCCTTCTTTTACTTTTTGTGGCACTGGGGTTTGAAATCAGGGACTTGCACTTGCTAGACAGGTGCTCTACCCCTTGAGCTACATTCTCCACCCTCTTCGGGGGGCTTTATTTTCCTTTTGATAGGGTCTTGTATTTTTGTCCAGTACTGGTCCAGATAGTGATCCTACTATGTAGACTGGACGAGAGACGTATCACCACATTTGGATTTTTTGCTGTTGCTGAGATGGAGTCTCACTAACTATTTTGTCCAGGCTGGCCTCTCAATCTCTACCTCCAGAGTAGCTGAGATTACAGATGTGGCTTAAAAAATAACAGATGTGTTCCTTTTTTATTATTATTTTGAGAAATGCAAAGAAAACTGATTTTTAATTTGCTCATTTAGATGTTAAAAATGCCGAGTATCATCTAAAAGAGAAAAATCTCATTTCTAAAGGTTAAAACAACTCAAAATCATCTGGGAATTAGACTTGGGATCTGATTACATGTATTGCTAAACATTGGTGTTATTTGACATCATCTTTGCTTGGTTTACCTCATCAACATTGGTAGAATTCAAAGAGTTGGTGGTTCTCACTCTTTCCATCTGAACATCTTCATCTTCCCATTCGGGCTGTTCTGGATTTTGAAGTGCATCACTGCTTCTTGGAGAAATTCTACATGCAAAACCATCCATTCATAGTTAACGTGTGGCTTTTATCTTTGCATTGGGAATTACACATTCTTTAAATTTCCTGCTTGACTGGATCACACAATTAATAGAGCATAATAATCTTACTTTGCCGCACCAGTTTATGACCACTCATCTGGGCTTCTCACTACCCTGGGCCTGTGGGTCACCCTGTTTCTTCTTCTTGAATGGGTAGCATGGCTTCAGCTACCAATAATTCAAACTGATTGTTTCTTAAATTGACTCTAATTATATACAGTATCTCCTTTAATCATCACAATATCTTTAGGGACAAAAACTCTCATTCTAAAGTGCTCTACTGCATGGAGTGTCAGATAGAGCCTTTCTAATCAATGTTCTAAGTCTGCTTCTGCTACTAGAGGGTCCTGTTTGGTTTAAATGTCTGAACCTTTGTTATTTATATTGGTACACTCTTTCTGACCCAGCCTAGGCAGGCACATGACACCACTTAGATCAGTGAAATTAAAGAATCCATTTGATTTATTCCAACCTAAAGAAGGGGTCCTTTCTCATTGATTTCTTTCCAAACTTCCATTCCAGACATCGGAGAATAAAAAGAAAAATAAAAAAGTGAAGTAAAGGCTAGGAATAAAGAGAGAAAAGCACAATTAGAGACACAAAAGATCAATATTTTAGTCTCAAAGATGAAATAGGAACAACTGGACTTTAAAAGAATATATTCAGCCAAATTACAAATTTCTAATAAACTCTTGGGTATATTTGGAACTATTTAGTTTCTTTCTTTTTTTCTTTTTTTCCTCCCTCTCTCTCCCTCTTTTTTTTTCTCTCTCTCTCTCTCTCTTTCTCTCTCTCTCTCTCTCTCGCTATTTCTTTCTCTTTCTTTTGATAGTCCTGGGGCTTGAATTCAGGGTCTTACATTCTTACTTGGATTTTTCACTCAATGTTGGTCCTCTACCATTTGAGCCTTACTTTCACTTCCGTTTTATTTTTTTGCTGATTAATTGGTGATAAGGGTCTCATGGACTTTTCTGCCCAGGCTGCCTTTGAACCACAATTCTTAGATCTCAGCCTCCTGAGTAGCTAGGGTTGTATGTATGAGTCATTCAAGCCTGGTTTGAATTCATTTTCAAACATGAAACAATTACAATTATGAGATACCATTGCTTTTGTTATTTTCTTTTACAGCTGCCCAATATTCTTAAAAATTTGAAAAATATGTTATCTTGTCAGTTGATTATCATCAAAATAATTGGCTCAGATTTAAAAAATATTATACCTCTATAGGCTACAGATAAATAAACTTCATAGAATTTACATGAATGCTCGGGGATAGCACCAGGTCCCAAGATCAAGCCCTAGTACAGGCATACTTGGTGAGCTTGGTATATGTGCATGTGCACATGCACACACACCCACACCCCTACACACACACACATCATTGAGTACAGTAAAAAAAAAAAAAAGGAACAATTTTTGAAGTGTATCCTTACAATTAACAATACCAGAAATGGATCTGTGCGCCTTGATCCTTCACCAAAGACAGATAACATGATAAGCTACAAAAGGAGAGGTAAACAGGAAGGAGAGGTTAAACAGGAAGTTTTGGGTTTATAAAAATAAACTGTATTCACATAATTATGAATTGGCATCAGGCAGCCCCAATAACCTTTCCCTGGATTGCACTATGAGTTGCAGGCAAGCATCTGTATCAAAAATACATATTGAGAAGCTGGCTTCCATCTTCCCAAGGTCTAGGAGCTTCCACTGTACCAATGGGATTTGTGAATCAATGGTCATCTAGTCAGAGAGAACCTGGGGAATCTAAGGTAGTCTCCTAAAACAGTGAGAGAGACAGTGTATCAACTCTCCCACAGAGCTTCAAGCGCCTTCCTGGGTCTTTTTTTTTTTAGTTGGTCGTGGGGCTTGAACTCTGGGCCTGGGCATTGACCCTCAGCACTTCAGCTCAAGTCGAGCATTCTACCTCTTGAGCCACAGCACCACTTCAAGTTTTCTGGTGGTTTATTGGAGATAAGAGTTTCATAGATTTTCCTGCCCAGGCTGGCTTTGAACAGCGATCCTCAGATCTCAGCCTCCTGAGTAGCTAGGATGACAGACGTGAGCCACCGGCATTCGGCTCTTCCTGGGCCTATTAATCCTCCTGCCCTTCCCCAGGTAATTTCTGTCCTCAGGCACTGAGCCTTCTTCCTTCCTTTAGAAGACTTATACAAACCAGAGAGTGAGAACAAAAAAGGAATTGTATTTATATTAGGTGCTCTCTTAAACACCCTGAGATTCCAAAGATTAATGACATCACTGGCCTTCTTGTGCAGCTAAGCAAGTCCAGGGCTTTGGGAGGAAAGGTCTAGAATTCCCCTTCTGTCAGCTAAGGCCAGCTTTCCTCTGACAGATTAGCTGGTGAATATAGCCCTATGTTGGTGAGCGCATCTTGGATACATAAGGAAGGAATCTTCATATACATTCAGTATCTGTCCAGCCCCAACACAAAGCTGAACTTTCACATTGGTCATCAGTTCCAGGACACCAGAGGGAGGTGGTCATAACTTACATCAAGAGAAATGAACAAACAACCGATCAGTGTGGTTGGTGGTATTAAAAACGTGATGCAGTATAGTGGAATATTTTCATAGTTTTCGAATAAAAATCCAGCCACAGAGAACATGGTGATCTAAAGGAAATACAAGTATGTGTGTCAATGGCGTTGAATTTCAATACGCGTTCCAAGCTGAGATGACTCACTCACCTGGGAGATAATGTATTCCAAATTTCAATTCCAACCTCACAATCTCCATTAATATTTCCTCCAACTTCACTTGAAGTAGCTTTTTGCAAAAGTATTACTGGCTAAATATGTTATGACCATGTAGAACATTTTAGTTATTAAAGAGAATAAAAGGATCTGGTAGGTACTGCTCCTTGGAGGTAAATTTTAAAATAACAGATAAATAGTAACAAGGAAAATTAGAATTGCTATCTCATGGGAAATAACTATTAACAACAATCAAAGGAGATTTTTTTGGTTAATTATTCCAAGGAAAAAAATAAGCCTGTAACACTCTAGAAAGGCATAAAGGGAAACACTAACACCCCAAATTCAAGAGAATGTTATAGGTAGTTGGAAGCCCTCAGCCTGTTTTTCTAAAACTTTGTGATAACTTCCTGAAAGTTTATCCTCATCCTATTGATCTTTTTCACTGAATGCTTTCATAGCTTTCTATGACCTGCAGAAGACATCTTCAGAACAGAATTTAAGGCCAGCCATAGTGCCAATAATTATTATTATTAATTATTATTATTAAATTACCCAACATTCTCTCCTAATTTAGATAAAAAAGAGTGACTTTTGGAGTTGATCTTCAGTGGAGCAATTTCTAGTTTTAATTATGCTATTATCCAAATTTGTAATTTTATGTTTGTGGAGGTCTTTACATTTGCTTCTTGTTGGCAAGCAAGATATAGATGGCTTCTTTCCAGCTCAACAGTTCTAGAAACAACTTGGCTACTTTTAAAGGATAATAGGGAAGGAAACAGGATGAGGAAAAGCTGGAAGAAGTTACAGATTTTGAAAAGAATCCATACACGAGGAGAATGTAAAAACATTTCAGACTTCAACATTTATCAGCCTACCAAAGGAAAATGTTAAAGAAGTATTAGCTAAGAACTATACACTAAGTATATAAAAATAAATGTCCACAAGAAATATACTTACAACAAAGAAGCAAAATGACCAAATGCCACTGTTTTTTCTTCCCTTGCGGAATATGAATGAAATCACATAAGTGAGGAAGATGAGAGACAGGACATAACCAATAGCACATGGGATCTGAAATCAACAGGATTCGTGAAGCTTAATTAGGGATAAAGGCAATCCAGGACAGGACTCAGATTCCCACACTCCATCGCAGGGAAGGAATTTACAGCTATTCAGTGTATCACAATGCACCATGCACAAAAACAGTTTGAGTCAACACAGTGTCTAATGAAACTGTGGGGCAGTTGTCACTTACTTGAATAATACGATTTACAACTGTGAATAGAGTCTCCTGGAAGCTTAAAGCGAAGTCCATTAAATACATAAAAATGAAGATGAAGCAGTACAGAGGAACGTCCACGCACGCCTGCCCGAACCAGTAAGCGGAAGGGAAGAGGCCTGAGATCCGTAGCTGGGACCAAGTCTTGCTCTGTTTAGGACAGAGCAAAGACACCCGATGAGTTTTAAGCCAGTGACTACTCTAAGTGACTCCTTCATTTGTACTGATTCTGGACCACAGCTACAATAGTTATCCTGACTAAACGTATGAATTATTTATTAACATTAATATCAGTGTTCTGGGGGTGCCAGTGGCTCACCCCTATAAATCTAGTTATTCAGAGCACTTGTGTGTGTCTTTGTTTAATTTGTAACAAAGCCTTACAGACAGGTGCAAATAGTAAATCCTCTTTTGCAACTCAGAACTCATTGCTGATAGGAGATTTTGGTACAAGTAAGAAGGAATATGATAAAAGAAAATCTAGTTATTCAGGAGGCTGAGCTTGGGAGGAACACGTTCCAAAGTCAGTGCAGGCAGAAAACTCTACAAGACTGTGTCTCCCTTTAACTATCAAAATGCTAGACTGGGAAGACGGCTCAAGTGGTAGAGTGCCAGCAAGAAGGCCAGGCAAGAGCAGGAAGTCCTGGATTCAAAGCTTTCCTTTTTTTTTTTTTTTTGGGTCTGGTCGTGGGGCCTGAACTCTGGGCCTGGGCGCTGTCCCTCAGCTCTTCAGCTCAAGGCTAGCACTCTACCACTTGAGCCACAGCGCCACTTCCGGCTTTTTTCTTTTTTTTTTTTTGCTTATGTGGTGCTGAGGAATCGAACCCAGGGCCTCATGCATGCAAGGCAAGTGCTCTACCACTGAGCCACCTTCCCAGCCCGGATTCAAAGCTTTCTGTCAGTACACACAGACACAGAGATGTGTGTTTGGTAAAATATTCTGCTGTTTAACAGATACAAAGGAGGAAGAAGTAATTATAAATGTTTTAGGCAATAGGCACAGCAATTATATTTATATCACACAATACACGTTATATACCATGAACAGTAATAGCATATAATATATCATTTTTTCTTTTTAAATTATAATGTGAAGTATGTATATTAGAACTCTACAACTTGTGGGTAGAGATGGGAGGGAAGGATTGGGAAAGTATGAGGGATCAGAAGACACTGTCCAAAAGGAAACATACTCATTACCTGACTCATGTAATTGTAATCCACCTGTATATCACCTACATAATAACAATAAAGTAAATTAATTTAAAAATTCTAATTTTATGATTTTTAAGTAATTGTACAAAGGTGTTGCAATTCACCTATGAGTTTATGAGTATAATGAATGCATCTTGGTTTTTTTTTTGTTTGTTTCTTGCCAGTCCTGGGGCTGGAGCTTGAACTCAGGCCCTGAGCACTGTCCCTGAGCTTCTTTTGCTCAAGACTAGCACTCTACCGCTTGAGCCACAGAGCCACCTCTGGTTTTTCTGTGTATGTGGTACTGAGGAATTGGACCAAGGGCTTCATGCATGCTAGGCAAGCACTCTACCACTGAGCCACCTTCCCAGCCTCTATAATGCATCTTGACCAATGTCACCCCTTTCACCCTCCTCCCCCATGCTTCAAACTTTTCTTCCCCTACCCTCTGTTTTGGTGTGCTAGAACTGGGATAATTTATTATCATGAGTGCCATTGCAGCCAAAGGAAGAAGGAGCTCAGGGTTTCTATGGGAGATGTTTTCAAGTCTGGGTCGTATTAGCTCCAGAATGACTGACAGTAACCTCACATCAGTCAATGGCAGGTCATAGGTTAGAAGTGGGTATTAAATGGCACTGTTCTCTTTTTTGGACAACAGAATTACCTTGGAGAGGGGAAGTGAAGCAAAGGAAGGAGAAGTGAGTAGACCGAGATGCTTACATAAACTTATGGATTTACAATAATGAAATCACCAAGATGGAGCACTGAAGGATAGATGATTGATAGCTGTGAGTATACAGCTAATGACACGTGACCAGGATTGAGGAATCTCCCTAAGGTTTCTACTCAACACGTGGCACAACTGTAAAATCAGAATCTTCAAGATTTTTGCAAGATGCTCAGGTAAACTGGCGACACAGCAACAATGCATGGGGATCAATGACATAGTGGAAAGTAAGATGTAAACCCTTTCCATTTGACATTGGAATTTGCTTCCTACCGTTCTAAGCACTTGCATTTCCAAAATGCTATTTTCCTTGATTTCACAAATCTCTCCTTAGCTAACTTCTTTGAGGTAGTTTTCAAAGGGATTGGGGGGGCGGGGAGTAGGGAAAGCAGGAGAAAAATGAGGGAGGAGGTAACAAATTTGATAAGAAATGTACTCACTACCTTGCATATGTAACTGTAACCTTGACAATAAAATAAAATAAAACTTTAAAAAGTAGTCATGTTAACCACATAGTCGCATGAGGCGTGATGCATTTCTACCTTTCTTCCAATTCTCCTGTCCCCCTTTTTCATCAGGAAACTTACTGAGAATTTTAAGGAATCACAAATTTGCCTCCTGTTACAGTAGTTACTTTTACCTTTCTAAGAATTTCATGTAACAAACATCTTTCAGTATTTGTCCTTTCAGTGTAATGGTTATTGTTTTTTTTCAAATTTCTTAGTAGTATTCCATAGATAAAAGTTTATCAGCTCACAGCCTGATGTTATCCGAAGTCATTGGCTATCATGAAAAGGTTTTAATATTTGAGTCAACATGGAAAAATGTTTTCTTTTTCTTGGGTATATACATATGTAGAAGAAGAATAGCTAGGTCACAACCATTTCTTAGCTGACTACAAACAGATTTTTTTGCAAAGTCATCACACAATTTACCAGGAGTATTATGAGAGCTCCAGTTTTTCCACATTTCCCAAACACTTAATATTGCCAATAATTATAATCATATTCATTTTATGTGGGAGTATCCCATTGGGGTTGTTTGCCTGATTACTCATAGGAGTATTTTTCTGTCTATCTTCACAGGGGAACTATCTGTTCACATATTTCATCTACTTAAAAATAGATTATTTTTTGTCATTGAAGCATGAGTTCTGTAAATATACTTGATAGAAATCTTTAGATAGATGCATATGCTTTGTGAATATCTTTCTCCCAACCTGTGGCTTTTAATTTTCTTATTGACCCTGATGAAGCTCAAGTTATCTTTTTCTTTTGTGCTATGTGTGACTATACTGTATTATGAAATATTTGTCTACCATATGGTCTATGATTAATTTCAAATTAATTTTGTGCATAGTGTTTGTTTGGTGTGAAGAACATTCTTTTTTTCATGCTGATTGTCAAGTTGTACCAGTACAATTTGTTGAAAAATCTGGCCTTACTCCTACTTGAATTCCTTGACTGTTTTATTTTATTCACATATATATATGTATATCACACACACACACATACACACACACACACACACACACACACACACACATATATATATATACTACATTCTTAATTACTATAATTTCATACCAAGCCTTGAATTCAGAAGCATGTTCTTCTAACTTTATTTCTCTTTTTCATAGTCATCTTGATTATTTTAAATCTATTCTAGGTTTTCTGCATACTCAGATAAATCATTATTCTCCTCTATTTCTACATATACTTATACTCTCATCTATGGGAGAAATCTTCCTATTATTTTTATAACTTAGAATTTATATTTGAGTTGGTTGGTCAATTCAAAATAAAGCTATAATTATCTTGGTGAAAATACTTCATCTTATCTTTAGCTTCTAATTATCCCCAAGTAACTGAAGCTTCTCAGTTGCTCATTATTACCTTATAATCATCGATGCTGCTCATGGCAATATAAGGAGGACAACTGGATGCCAAAATCAGCCAGATGATGGTATGTCCCAGGTATTCAAATGGATTGCTCTGTATTTTCTGAGAAGGCAAAGGATATAATGAATGGAATGACCAAATTCTAATTTTACTTTCTAGAGTATATTTTTATTTTTTTACTTTTTATTTTTTTTTTTGGGTCCAGTCATGGGGCCTGAACTCTGGGCCTGGACGCTGTCCCTCAGCTCTTCAGCTCAAGGCTAGCGCTCTACCACTTGAGTCACAGCGCCACTTCTGGCTTTTTTCTTTTTGCTTATGTGGTGCTGAGGAATCAAACCCAGGGCCTCATGCATGCAAAGCAAGCGCTCTACCACTGAGCCACCTTCCCAGCCCTAGAGTATATTTTTAAAGGTATGCAAAGGTATGTCTTAGGTTGTTTTGAAAATTCCAATCCCTTCCATTTCTCCTCTCTTTGATGTATGACTTTTGACTTTACTCTAAAATCTATTGTTAAGAAAACGGATTCAACAAACATATAATTTGCTAACATTGCCTTTTGGTAAATAATAACAGCAAGCTTTTTGTTGTCTTACCTCACTTTACAAATTAACCAAGAGCATATAAACAAATTTACCTTTCATTCTCTCACTGATTTTTACTTTTTTTCAAATGTGTTATTGGACTCAAAAATCATACCATATGTTAGGGACATCCAGATCTATATTGCTTGAGGATTTGAAAGTAGACAAGAAGTATATTTGGTCAGGACAGCGAAAGCCATATACCTATCAGTCTTGACTGTTTTGTGTGCTAGTTCTGGGGCTTTAGTTAACTCAGGTCTGGATGCTATCACAGCTTTTTCATCCAAAACTGGTGCTCTATCACTTGAGCTATAGTTGTTACTCTTTGGTGATTAATTGGAGATAAGAGTCTAATGAACTTTCTTTTCCTGGATGGTTCTGAACTCCTATCAATGCTTAGATCTCAAACTCCTGAGCAGCTATGATTACAGGTATGAGCCCGCATCTCTTAGTCATTCCTGAATGTTTAAGGATAGAAGGTTCACATACTTTCTTGACAGCTTGTTCCCTGCTATTTTTATGATTCACACAATTGTTTGCTTAAGTATATTACTGAAAAAAAGTTATAGCCAGAGTCTGGTTTTCTTCAGCTTGCACATCATCAAGATACTTGCTAACCAGAGAATGGGGAAGATGAAGGTTTCTGTCAGACTCTTTCAAACACCCTGACAAATCCAATGACTTGGGGAAGGACAGAAGCAAGGTTTGAACCTCCAGAAAACTCTTACTTTTGGAGTAAGGCGAAGGTAAATTTGAATAGCAAATAAAGGAAGTTGCTGCAGATATTGATTTAAGTAAATACATTGGGGACATAAACAAAGGGGAACTACTGGATGACAATAGACTTATTCTCACAAAATAGGATTCCTTTTCAGGGAAGCACAAAGGAATTTCTGACCAGCTTTGTTAGAAAATATGAAAAGAGGAAGTGGCTCTGTGGCTCCAGTGGTAGAGTGCTCGCCTTGAGCTGAAGAGCTGAGGGACAGTGCCCAGGCCCAGAGTTCAAGCCCCACGACCAACAACAACAACAACAACAACAACAAAAAAGAAAATATGAAAAGAATGATTAATAATATTGTTTCTGTAATGATTATGATCACTGATTTCCATGAATACGTGATCATTTTCCATCTGTATTATTAGAAAACCCTAGAACTGAGTGGGATATTGACAATTTAACGATCCCTATCATTCCTTTATGCATTCAACAAAGAAGTTACTTAGGGCTTGTAGTTCCAAGCCTATTCTTGGTGGCAATATATTTATTTACTTTGTTTAAAAAAAACCACATACTCCCTACATATATGATAGGGAGAAATATATCTTAAAAATAAAGGGATCATTAGTAATTATGTTAGTTCTCTGATTTCCATAATTAAGTAATTTGCATAATTTGCATGGTTGAAATTGCCTGGGCCTTTGCTTAGGAATAAGATTTTTTAATTCCCTGTTTGGAAATGATGTATTGGTAGGTCTAGGATAGACCAAAAGTATCAATATTTTTGACTAGTGTCTGTAGTGATTGTCATGTATACACTTTATAGTTCTAGCTTAACCTTTGGCCTTCCTTCTAAGAGCTCGTCCTTCTGTTTGTGCTAGCTGCAGTGTTGCTTTACTTTATCCTTGGAAAATATTTTAGCAGTTCCATTTTTGGGGTTAAAAAAATTCCACCCATCTAATTGTAACCCCTCTGTATGACATTTTCACACAAAAAAAAATCCCAAAACTCTGAAAAGTATATTCATTTTCCAAAGTCCAGAACCTACCATGAATCCAAATGTTAATGACCCAGTGGCTTACCTCAGTAAGAGAAAGATCTCATTACTTCAAAGGGTGATGTAGGCAGATAGTCCATAAGACTTGCACTTACCCCTGGGAATGTGCTCCTGTCTGTCTGGATACGTGCGGATGGAGCAAACATCCCAAGCAGCCCATTGCTCACAATATCCATAAGAACTGGGAAGCAATTCAGTCTCTTGGTATTGCATACTAAGGAAAATCTATAATCCTAAAATGTAACATGTAAGTTTATAAATGACTGCAGACCTTCATTGTTTTTCCTAAAGAAAGTAAAATTCAATATTTTAATAGATTGCCTTTATATATGTATGTAAAGATACACACACACATATATATTTATTTACTTATGTATTTGGTGCTGAAGATTGAAATTTGAGCTTCAAGGAGATTAGGCCAAAAGATTTCTCCATGCCATGAGCTATGCCTCCCAGTTCTAATCCCAAGATCATGTTTCAAAATTCTTTTGTCAATAATTTGTAAAAACCATGTAAATGCTAAGTAAAAAACAATGTGCAAGAAAATCACGAATGGGGACAAATAAAATAAAACATGCAGATAGTAAAACAATGTAGTTTGATTCACCTAATGCCTTGCTGAAGGCAAGGTTTGGAGTGTTTAAGAACACGGCAGCCAGCATGGGGCTGGGAAGGTGGCTCAGTGGTAGAGCGCTTGCCCTGCATGCCTGAGGCCTTGGGTTCGATTCCTCAGCACCACATAAGCAAAAAGAAAAAGGCTGGAAGTGGTGCTGTGGCTCAAGTGGTAGAGCGCTAGCCTTGAGCTGAAGAACTGAGGGACAGCTCCCAGGCCCAGAATTCAGGCTCCACGACCGGACTCACCCCCCCAAAAACAAACAAACAAACAAACAAACAAACAAAGAACACGGCAGCCTTTCCAGATGTATCATTAAATCCTTGAGAGACAATGGGAATCCTTTGGAATGAAATGTGCACCTAAACAAGGACACTTGAATACAGCAAGCGTTTTTCTAATACAGCTTGTGTTACATAGACAATGACGGGGATACAAATAATCACTTATCATACCAATGAATCTCGTTCTCTAAGTGAAAAAGAATTAAATAGAGCATATTATCTCCTTTTCCGTTTTTGCCTCTTCAATTGGAGACTTGGGAAGATTAGCTTTCCGGTCCTGCGAGGGAGGGGCTGGCCCAAGAGCAAGGTACCTTTTCATTGCCAGACACTATGATGGCGCCATTGTAGGAGGGATCGTCCACGCCAGTTCCAGTTCCCGATTTGTCCACCTCCAGGGCGATGTTCTGGTGCTCCACAGAATGGAGGAAGTCATCAATGCTTGCCCCTAAGGTGCAGTGTAATGTATTAGCTGTTTCAATGCTAAAAACATTGATGTCAAATTACTGTGATCTGAATTCTCAGGGTATTTTCCCACATCACAACATGCTGGCGGTTGTGAATTAAGAATACATTCCTTTCTCAAGGACTGAATTTCATCATATGTTCATTTGCTTAGGATCACGCAAATCATTTTTAGCAACTTATTTTTTTGTCATAGATTTATTGTGTAGAATCTTGCAATGAACAACTGTAACCAATATGGTTTTCTTAATGGGTGATGTCTACTAATTAACCATAAAACTTCCTATAACTCATTTTAGGGACTGCTACATTGTTGATTTTTGAATTCTTTCCATTCTCTTTCCCTTCACTCCCCTCTCCTTCCCTTCCCTTCCTATCTTTCTGGTGGTGTGGGGCTTGAATTCAAGGCCTAAGCACTTTTGCTCAAGGCCAGCGCTCTACCACTTAGAGCCATAGCTCCGCTTTGGGTTTTTGAGTGGTTGATTGGAGATAAGAGTCCCACAGGGACATTTCTGCCCAGGCTGGCTTTGAACCTTGATCCTCAGATCTCAGCCTCCCAAGTAGCTATTACAGGCATGAGCCACTAGTGCCTGGCTCAAATTATTTATTTATTTTTTATTTTTTTAATTTTTAAAAAAATTATTTTGTAGTAAAGATACTGTACAGAGGGGTTACAGTTACATGAGTAAGGCAGTGAGTAAGGCAGAGTAAGGGAATGAGCACTGTTACCCCCTCCTTTGTTGTTCTCCCACTATCCCTTCCCTCCCCCTTCCCCCTCCCCATCTCCCCGAAGTTGTAAAGTTCATTTCCAATATACTGTCCTGTGGGTATCATTGTTGCAATGGGTCATCCTGTGTCCTTGTTTCAGCATTTTGTTATTCCCCTTCTCCTCCCCAAATTAGACAAATGTATATACAAGATGCAGGGTACCAAAGTCAAGTACAGTGATAACAGGGGATATACCACAGAGGGAAGAACATACAAAAGAAACCAAAAAATCACATAGTGCATTAAAAACTGCAACAATAAAGAAAGACCTCTTGTGTCCATATCTTGGGGTTCATTTTGCTTAGCATCATCTTATTTGGTCATGTGTACATAGCTTTTGAGCTTTTCTGCTCATCTGATAAAATTATTCTAGACATATACTAATTATTGCAAATGAGGGAAACCATGGGACCTATATTTCTTTGTGTCTGGCTTACTTCATTTAGTAAGATTTTTTCCAAGTCTTTCGATTTCCTAACAAATAAAGTGGTATCATTCTTTCTGATGGAAGCATAGAATTCCATTGTATCTGCATGGCAAAGGACAAAGCTAGTAAGATCAATAGAAAGCCCATGGACTGGGAGAAGATCTTTACTAGCCATACAACAGACAAGGGTCTCATATCTAAAATATACTTAGAACTCAAAAAAATTAAATCCTCCAAAAACAAATTTTCAAAGAAACAACCACACCATTAAGAAGTGGGCTAAAGACTTAAAGAGAGACTTCTCTGAAGAAGAAATAAGAATGGCCAGTAGACACATGAAGAAATGCTCAACTTCTCTGGCCATAAAAGAAATGCAAATCAAAACAACACTGAGATTCCACCTCACCCCAGTTAGAATGGCTATAATCAAGAACGCTAATAACAACAGATGCTGGAGGGTATGTGGCCAAAAGGGAACTCTACTGAACTGTTGGCAGTGTAAACTTGTTTAACCACTTCGGAAAGAAGTATGGATGTTCCTCAAAAGACTACACATAGAGCTCCCCTATGACCCAGCAATCCCACTTCTGGGCATTTACCTCATTGATCACAAAAAAGGCAATACTAAAGCTACCAGCCCAACTATGTTTATCTCAGAACTATTCACCATAGCTAAGATATGGAACCAACCCAGATGCCCCTCATTAGATGAGCTGATCAAGAAAATGTGACACGCACACACACACACATATACACACACACAATGGAACTTATTTCTTGATACAGGAAGGGAGCTTCTAATATGTGGACTTCCGCAGTCCCTCTCCCCTGAACAGCAAGCATAACCGCTAAAATACTAACTAAAAGCAAAACAAAACAACAAAAATTCCATGTAGTCAACACTTCTTAAAACTTCATCAAGCATCTACAGAATATGAAGAAATATAGATCCAAGGAAATCTACTAAAATTTGGTAAGAACACTTGTCTGCTCAGTAAGCACAGAAGATACTCAACATTATCAGCCACCAACAAAAATGAAGATTAAAAAACTACAAGGTATCATGTGACACCTAATAATGGGTATGGAAAACAAGCAGGAAATAGTGTGGGAAAAGTTGTGCAGAAATTTGAGCCTTCATAAATGGCAGTGTAAGCACACCATAGTATATCCAATTTGAAAACAATTCGGTTGGTCCTTAAGGGTCAAACATCCATCATCACATGACTCAATAAATTCCACTCCTAGGAAGACACTCAAAGTCAGGAAAATATATTTATACAAAAGGTTATATGTGAACATTAATAGAAGCATTATTCTTAATAATCAGTTGTTGGGAGTATCTATCTGTTGAAGAGTGGTAAATAAAATCAATGGGAAGCCTCTGCTATTGTCACTCCCTGAAGGAGAAGAATTCAAAGATGATACAAACAATTAGAGAATTTAAACAGATGGTTGAATGAAATAAACAATGAAGGATGTACAAGTGGAATTCAGTAAAGACATAGAAATCTTTTTTTTAAAGGAAGCAAACTAAAATCTTGGAAATGAAAAGACCCCAATAGCCCAAATTTTTAAAAACCGTAATTAATAGAACAAAACAATTTAAAGGTTATCAGGTTGAAAAGAAAGCAGAAGAATTTGGTTAGTCAAGAACATGGGGGGAAAAACCCTAAGAAAATATAAAATGAAAGTACAAGCCCTCTTATACAGTCTAAGTTATGGGAATAGAAGAAAGAGAAGATGATATAAAGTAAAGGCATTGAGAATCCATTCAATAAAATAATAGCAGAAAATTTCCTCCACCTTGAGAAGGAGATGGTCACACATGTGGAAAGGCCAACACCTAATATGCAAGACAGAAGAAGAAACATCCCTGGATACATTGTAGTTAAAACACTAGACATGCAGAATAACAAAGGGATGTGGACAGTTGGGAAGGAGAAGAGACACATTACATGAAAAGGGAAGTCCAAGAGGAGAACAGTGATTTTGATAGCATATCAACCTCTAGAATATTAAAGTACAAGATTACTACCTCAGGTAGCTACAGCATAGATGAACTTTGAGATGCAGTATTACCTGTTTTATTGATGATCAGCAATTGGGTAAGAGGTGCCTGGGGTGGTTGTCCCGGAGCATGGAAGTACAAATGAGGGGAAAGTTCCCAGGTGTAACTGTTTTGATATATTTTTATCAAGATATATTCCAAAAGAAGAGGACAAAATCCAGCTGCCAGAATCAATAGCCTACAGAGAAGAAATTTGCCAATGTAAATACACGATCATTTCCTAACATTTCCCATCCCAATCACTGCAGATTGAACTCAGTTCCTGGTCTTGACTTGAGTCACATCCCTAGCACTTTTGTTTGCATTTTGTTTTTGATGTCATGTCTGACTTTGCCTGGGCCATTCTTGAGCCATGATCTTCCTGCCTCTGCCTGTGAAACAGCTTTCTTATCTTTTGGAAAGGTCCTGAGGAGATTATAATGTCATGAGATGAAGAAACTGGAGAAATAAACCATGTAATTCTTTGCCTAAATAAGTAATCTTTGTTTCTTAGTGTTTTGTCTTCTCTTCTAAATTGGAGGAGCTAAGATGTAAATTTACCCTTTGGTTATTTCTCTTGCTCTTGGTCATTGGGTCACCTACACTATTTCATGGGATGTACACCCTTTAACTCCTGTCTAGTTTCTGTCTACGCGTTGTGTTTCCGGTTTGATACATTGCTTTTCTGCTGTTTAATTCACCACATTTTAGTTCTATTTTCTTCATGTTACTCATCTTCTTAGATGCCCTGTTTCTTTCAGTGACTCCATGATTTCTTTACTGTCCAGGTTCAAATTCTGAATTATTTTCAACCTTTATTCTCCTGTTTTCTTGATATCAAATAGATGAAAAAATTCTATTACAATTATGTAATAGAATTTATGTTTACAATTTATGTTTTACTTTGAAACCTCTCTCTAGTCCTAATTTATGATTACATCTTGTCTGAAGTCCTGCAAAATGGCTGACATCGTTCTATTCTCCATTCTCTCCAGACTTTGTTATGGAGTATTTCCTAGTTTAATATTAAATTTTTTTCTTAAATCATGATACTATCCCCACCATCTCAAAATTTTGTTTAGGAAATATTTGTCTAAGTCCAATGATATGCCCGCTCAGTTCTTTCTTGCTTATTTAAAACACAGTTTCAAGGCATGGGTTGATAGGCAAGGCCATGGTAGATGGTAATGGGAGGAGATGTGTCTTGGGATGGGGATGTTGTGCATGTAGTAGGAACAGAGAACAAGGTACTTCCACAAAGGAAGCTGGCAGAAACTGTGAGGTTTAGGGAAAGCCAGTAGAATAACCACACAGCCTCTTGACCATGGCATGGACCTTGCCAAAGAGAATTCACATTCCATAGGGAAGGCTCACTGCCATATTATGGATCATTTGTATGGGAGGAGGAAGTGTCATGGGAAACTAAACTGCTTCCACTTTTCCTCTTGAATCCTGTGGAAAACATTGTAAGTTCCCTGTGTCAGTTTCCTCAGAGATAACTATTAAGGCCATAGTCTAAAATGGCTATTATGATTTCCCCTCCGAGATTTTGTTTTTTTTTTAGTTTTGTTTTTCCTCTTGTTTGTTTGCCTTAGTTACTTCTGATGCTTTGGATAAAAACATAAAACCTGTGGATCCCTGGTACTCACAAGGAAAGAAGAGCTTTCTTCTCATGCTTCAGCTTCAGCAAGCGAACTTTTGCAATGGCACAGATTTGATATGCCCAGAGGGCCACACCGCTGGTCATCTTTCTCATCTCCCTCAGGGAAGAGAGGATGTGTTCCATCTCCATAAGCCTTTCTGTGTCCCCAGCTCTTTCAACTTGTGTGTCTCCCAAAATGTCAGTATCTTCAAAACACAAAAGAGGCGATCCATAAAATCCCACTCAGAAGCAATTCATAAATTCCCACTTGAGACATGTGTCACCGAGCTTCCTGCAGTAGCTTGTCTTGTTAAGGTTATGACAATAATTAGAACCTTCTGTATTCTTCTAGGCATTCTATGGCATGACTGGTATCTGCCTAGAACTGGAAAGATACCTAAAATACAAATTTCTGGGACAAAAGGAAGAGTAGAAAGGAGATGTGATATCTCTTTTGTATATAGATAATACACTAAAGAAGTGAGATAAAAATGTGGTGTCATCACAACTTGGAAATTTAGTAAAGAAAGCAAGCTTTTTTTCAGATAGAGTTTTATGCTACTTTTGCTAAGGGCTGGTTTTGGGCCATAATCTTCCTACCTCTGCCTACCAAGTAGCTTGGATTTCAGGCATGTGCTACCATTCTTAACCTCATATTAAGGACTTTTATCTTATTAGATGAGGGAAGAAAAATAGTAAGAATAGTTTCATAAAAGGAGAAGCCATTTGTAGGGGAGAAAATTCCTCTTGCTGTTCTCCTTCTTGGGGCAACAAGCAGATGGCAGAAGGAGAAAGTGAACAAAGGCATGAATAAAATGAAAGTAGCCGGGATTAAACACACTCTAGTCACAGGGTCACATGTTGGCAGTTACGATTGACTGTAATCCTGCAGGGTTCAAGTGATAAGATGAAGTTGCAGTATCTATGACTTTTTCCCATGGGGCTGCTTTTTTCTAAGTCTTTGGTAACAGCACACCAGAGGGCAGGAAGGAAAACCTGGGAATCACATGGGAATGAGATGTGGAGTCTTGCATGAGGTATCATCAAGGTGTATGGGGATCTTCATTTGTGTAATACATCAGTTCAACAAGGGCTAGTCATTGGATAAGAAAGCAGAAAGACGTATATTGAAGTAAAATGGACCTTGGGTAGGTCTAAAGCATGTGTATTGTCAGAGAGCAAAGCGGTAGTATATAGAGAGCTATCATCCAAGATAATGATCAGAGTCGAAAGTTAGCTTTGATTAGTTGATTAATTGTATAAGTGTGGTGGCAGACTGAAAATCAGGAGGACTTCCCCTGTGGTTGAGAAATTTAGTAACCATTTCTCTACCTCATGGAGAAATCATCAGAATTTTGCTAATGTTTCAATTCAAAGTCATGCTGAAGAAGAGTTCTGATTTTGTCTTTGATTCACTTAAAGTGGTGATTGAACAGCATGTAATGTAAATGACAAACTACACATCCAGAGGTTAACTGTCTCCCAAAGCCCACAGATTTGTATTTCACATCTGTGAAATACAAATTAGATTGATTTATCCATCTGGATTGTCAGCAGCCTGAGGGAGGAAGAGTCAAAACCTTTTCTAGGCATTGCTTTATATAGGTTCTTTTCCACAGTAATGACCATGGGTAAAAGCAGGAAAACGTAGCCCCTACAGAGACACGAAAAAGGCCATCAGAATCTATTACTATGGGTCATCAGTTACATGGTCCTCATGTTGGAATGGACAAATATCTATGATAAAACCCTGTGGTAAGTTCTCCTGGGAAACACAGAAAACATTACTGAACTGATGTAAAATTTCAGTAGAGAAACAACTAGAAGGAGCCAATGGAAATATCAGGAGGAAAATAGTATATCAGAAATGAAATTCATTAGTTGGGGTTCAAAGCAGTCTGAACAGAAGAAAAGAAGATATCTATGAGCTTGAAAGCAAATAGGCAGCTCCCACCGCTGGTGGGTCCTGAGATTTTGTGCTTTGGCATTCTACTATTGAGTCACATCTCCAGCCTTTAGTTTCCAGTATTTAGTTTTTGGGTACGGTCTCACTTCCTACCTGGGAGTATACTTAAGTGTGAGCTCTCCCTACTTTTAGGCCTATTTTTTTTTTTACCTTGCTAGCATCACAGATGTGTATCATCACATTCAACTTTCCCCCATGGAGACAGAGTCTTGTGGACTTTTCCATTTTGTGCTGGGCTGGAGCCACAATCCTCCTAATCTCAAGCTGGAGATGACTGGTGTGTACTATTGCCCCAAGCTATGTGTTGAGAGGGTAAATCTCATGTGCTTTTGCCAACGCTGGCCTCAAAGCATGACCACTTTACTCCCGGGCTCCCAAATAGCTTATATTATAGACATGAGCCACAGGAGCCCCACTTTCACATTGTCCAGTTTCTAACACAAAGAAAGATAAAGAATGAACGATCTCATCAGAAAACCTGGGATCTGTAAGTCAGTATCAAATGTCTGATCTGTGTGTTCTTTATTACTGGTTGCCAGAGCTTTTAACCAGAAAAAGGGAAATGAACATTCTAAGATGGGACATTCCCAAACACAGGAACACATACCAAACAATGGCAGTTCTAGAAAAGGAAGAGTGAATGGATCAGGAAGTATACACAAAGAAATAATAGCCAAAAATCTCAAATTTGATGAAAAAATACTAATCTACACATGCTAATCTACCCACGACATGTGTGGTAAATATAAACATATTCATCTCTAAAGATACCACACTCAAACTATCAAAAGCAAAGAACACCACCTTTGTAATAACTATAAACACTTTCAAAAACACCACACAACAAAAAGCAAAGGACAAGAGAACGTTAAAAGTAGAGAGAAGAAAACAGCTTTTCATATACAGAGAACTTTAGTAAGGTAATAAGTCCTGCAGGCAGAGGGATGGCATACAAGGTTTATGAAGAAGGAGACTTCACTAAATGTTTTGTCTGAGATTTCGGACTATGATGGGATCAGCAAGCCTTACATGAAGGAAAACGAGCTATTTTACATGACAAGCAATATTGGCAGAGGGTGCATCTCATCTCTGTCCCAAGCTGTCCAAGAACCATCTTAAGGTTGAGACTCCACATTTTAAAGTCACATATTTGAAATGTTGTCTTCTTGAGATATTGATTGCCCTTGAGGTGTTGTGAATGATTGGGCTTAGTAATTTTGTGCATTTTATTTACCCAGTTCATCAACTGCGGATTTTCCTTCTAGTTTCAGGAACACTTCATTCAGAGTTGTCATGGATACCCCATAATTCTCAATTCCCAGGCCAGGAGAGTTGTCAAGATCCTTGTACAATTCTGAAGAATACACACATAGCAATAAATCAAAACAGCAAAGATCATGAAGAAATTTAAGAAGTCTTCAACCTAAAAAGTACAAGCATAGTCAATGTTACCTGACATATTTTAAAATTTAACATTTCATAATAAGTAATCTCATTTATATATTATTTTCTGTTTTTCATTATGTGTATGGCTTAAATCTCCCTTCCTTCCTTCCTTTCTTTCTTCCTTCCTTCCTTCCTTCCTTCCTTCTTCCCTTCCTTCCTTCCTTCCTTTCCTCCCTCCCTCCTTCCTTCTTTCCTCCTTCCTTCTTTCTTTTTAATTTTTTTTCTATTTTTTTGTCAATCAGGGGGCTTGAACTCAGGGCCAGTGGCTCATACCTGTAATCATAGCTACTCAGGAGCTTGAGATCTGAGTATCATGGTTCCAAGTCAACTTAGGCAAAAAAGCCTGTGAGGCTCTTATTTCCAATTAACTTCAAAAAGCCAAAAGTGGAGCTATGGTTCAAGTGGTAGAATCTAACCTTGGCACAAAAGCTCAGGGACAGTGTCCAGGCTCGGACTTCAAGCCCATGGACCATCATAAAACAAAAAAAAAGTTCTCTTTCTGATAAAAGATGAAAAATAAATATAAGACTGAAGACCAAATAGAGAATGAAGGATTGATATGGGGTTTCTTAGACTAGTAGAAAAATGTGATGGTAATAGTTTATTCTTTAATTAAATCACAAAAATATTTGGAACAAGTAATTATTCATAAGGCTATGAATAATGTTTTTGCCTGTCTGGGTTTGAAGGAAGATGGTTGATTAAATGATGCCTAGCCAGGCACCCGTGGCTCATGCCTGTGATCCTTGCTACACAGGAGGCTAAGATCTGTGGATCCCAGTTCAAAGCCAGCCCAGGAAGGAAAGTCTGTGAGACTCTTCTCTCCAATTAATGATGGAAAAAGCCAAAAGTGGTGCTGTAGCCCAAGTGGAAGAGCACTAGCCTTGTGCAAAAGGAGCTTAGGGACAGTATCCAGGCCCAATTCAAAGCCTAGAACCAGCAATAAATAAAATAAGTAGATAGATAGATAGATGCCTGACTGTAAACCTAAACTTTAAGTTTAGACAATCCGAAATTTCACTCTGAGCTGTCTACTTGATCAAGAGTTTCATCTGGAATACTCTAACAACCAATACAGAAAAGATTTATGATTTAAACAGCTAATGGAAGTCACATGCTGATTAAGCTTCACTTTACCTAAATGTTTTTTCTTTTTAAAAAAACCACCAAATTTCTTCTAAATTATAACAATCTTAAAACGTATTACTTAGGATTTAATTAACACATTGTTTAATGCTTCTAAGGACTTGTGCTCTCTCCATAAAATGTGCCACTGTATGACTATATGGGGTAATTTCATCATACAGATGGCAAAGTTAATTTTCTCCTTCACTCAACCCAGGTCCTCAGAACAGCACCTGGCACTGACAACCTGAGCGAAAACCTATTAGCTTGGAAAACCTGATGTTACTATATATATATATATATATATATATATATATATATATATATATAAAAACTTGACTAAGAGAAATAGTCTTGTGGGTGTTTTACAGACATTTAACCATTTGTGTTCATGTATGGTTGTAAATACTGGAATATTCTGCTATATACTGCAAGAAGAAAGAAGGCTAAGAGGTCTAAAAAAGCCCAAACCTTACAAAGTAATTTAGATGCAATATTTCTCATTCTGTATAAAATCATCATCATTTTACTATTACTTTGATCATGTTTCAATATCTGAGCGTATTATAACCTCAATAAGTGTTGGTTACAAAAATATCTTCATTATTATTTTTAGTGAATAATATTGACATAGTTGACTTCATTACATTCACGTGTATTACCTGGAAACCTACAGGTTGTTTCTAAGGGTAACGTATAGACCAGCTTTCCTTCACTTTCTGCTGATAACTTGGCATTGGGGATGTGCTGTTTAACAAGAGATGTAATGTTTTCCCGAGCACATATTTCCTTCAACTGCAAACTAATATATATGTATATAGAAAAAAGAAAGGCATGTTATTTGACATAGTCTACAATGTAATGAAAATAAATAACTCATTTTTATGTAGGGGGGGGAAGAAAGTAAATAAAAACGAGTTGCAAGAAAGGTATTGTGCAGGGATGAAGTAGGGTGATGAAAAGTGCATCAAACAAAAGAGGGAAAGCAAAGACTCAGCAATCAGAAATGCCAGTCAGTTTATTCAGGGTTTGGGACATAGAGGTACTTAACTATAGACTAGAAGAAATGCTAAGGATAGCTCAACAATCAGCAATGCAAAATTAAGAACATTGAAGATTATGTTGCAAAGAAGTTCTATTTGGCTAAGTACATTAAAAGGAAAAGGGAGTTTTCATGCCGAACAGATTCAGTTATTTATTTTCTTTACCCAATGCACGTTTAGTAAGTTCCTAGTATGGGACAAACATTATACTAAGTGCTGAGGTACAAGGTGACCAGGAAAGCTTTGCCATGCTCTTATAGCATCGTTAAGCCAAGGGAGATAGGAAGTAAAACAGATAGGTAAAATGATTATCACTGGAAGAGTGTGGGTTTGAAGAATGGGGATCTCTCATTTCAACGTGGTGGTGCTAATTCCAGAACTTTGACTAAGATCGGACTACCACATAGAAAAGTTTATCCATTCAAAAACACCACAACTATTGTAGAAAACCCCCCAAAACAGATTTATTAGTCATAGTTATAAAGTATACAGTAGATAAACCACCAGTAGTAGCAGTATTTTTAAATGTGTTTGTGCCATTTGAGAAGAATTTCACCACTAGTAACATAGAATACTGGTTCTTCACATCTAGATGTATATTCCATTCTGAAAACATTTGACCAAATGCTTGTCATTTATTTATTCATAAAGCATTGAGGGAGTTAGGCACAAATGACCATGGAAAAGTTTTTTTCCCTATGGTGGTGAACCCCCAAATAAAAATAAAGATTTCAAGAAGATGTGTGGGATGTTATGTGGACTTCACGGAGGGCATGGTGTCCTCCCTTAAAGGAGCTTATGCCCTGCACGGAGAAGGTCAGTAACCTTTTTCTGCTGGCAAATACTTTTGGGATTTGAGGATTATTAAAGCTCTGTCACCACACTTGCGCCTTGAAAAACAGTATATAGGCAATATGCAGGACAATGAGCCAAACTTCTCCAATCAAACTTTACTCACAAAAATAGGAAATAGGATGGATGTGGCTCATGGACCACAATTTTTTTGACCTCTGGTTTAGAAGAACATGTAGTTGTTATGCAATGATTGTGCAGAAACCTTTGAGGTGCCACGAACCCTGGCCAGGATGGTTCAGTTGGAGAACATCATATGGCATGCAGTATCCCAGGCCATATCTCAGTTATGGTCTATAGCCCTTACTCACAACCAGGAAGTGTTAATATCATGAAGGAGAAAAGGAAATGAATTCCAGAGTTTAGTTATTTCCAAGAAGAGATTTGAAATGAATGCTTTGGGGGGAAAAACATATCAAGATGTTACACGGGATTGGAAAAATAACAAGCTATCCATAAAATATGATTCAAATAACTACGCCTTCACCAGGTAGACGTGGAATCAAGGGGACTGCCAGCCTCAGGAAATGCCCTTCAAATGTGAAGTGCAGGCCATGGTAGGACATACATAAGGCAGTATGATCACTTCATCTTAAGTTGAGGATGTTGGCTTGAGTAAGAGAACATAGGGGAATTGTGAGATTTGGGGGCCACACTGGTATTACTTGGCTACCCGGTTAGACTCTGGTAGGCAAAGTGGGATCCTTGAAGGAATTCTTTTGTTGTGATTTTGTATTATCATTATTTTTGTTTCTTTTCAAAAGAATATGTAGCTGAATGCTAGTGGCTCACACCTATAATTCTAGCTACTCGGGAGGCTGAGATCTAAAGATCATAGTGTGAAGGTAGCCCAAGGAGGAAAGTCTGGGAAACACTTATCTCCAATTAACCACCAAAAAAGCTGCAAATGGCACTGTGGCTCAAGCGGCAGAGTGCTAACCTTGAGCAAAAAATGCTTAGACACAATGCTCAGGCCCTGAGTTCAAGCCCCAGGTTCAGCACCAAAAAGAAAAAAAAGGATTAAAAAATAAGTGATATAAATCATAAAAATGAATCAACTAACATGAAAATTAAAAAGCAGTTGAAAACATGGAAGTGGACACTGGACACTGGATTTTAACTTATCAATACCTCGGCTTGATTCTTAGCTCTAACTCTTATGAATCTAGTGTCTTGGTTTCAATGTTTTCCCCTAAGTGTCTATGCTGAAAATTCAATTCCAACACAGATGTTGTGAGCTGAGACCTTTGAGTGTTGACTGGATCTGACTTCAAGACTAGATTAATGCTGTTGTCATTGGAGTGTTTAGTTACTGCAGGAGTGGGTTCCTGTCAAAATCATGAGTTTGCTCTTCCCTACCCTACCACGTGTCTTCTTTCTCCTTCCACTATGAAATGATGTAGCAAAAAGGCTTTTTGCCAAGTGTGGATTCCCCAATCTTCAGAATTGTAAGAAATGGACTTCTGGTGTGTGTGTGTGTGTGTGTGTGTGTGTGTGTGTGTGTGTGTGTGTGTGTGTGTGTGTGTGTGAATTACTCAGTTTCAGGTTTTCTGTTATGGTTGCACCAACTGGACATTGTAATCTCATTTGTAGAGTGAAAATAACAAGAATTCCCTCCCCCCAAAATAGATTTAACTGACTTACAGATCTGTAACTGCTCCTTTATAATAACAATAAAAAATTAAAAAATAGATATAAGTAACATAATATGAAATATCACCTCTTCCAGTCACTCAGTAAATAGCATCTCAAATACGCTATGATACAAAATAATGATAATAACAAAATGAGGGTGGAAAGGAGACAAATGGGAAGGAGAAGGAAGAGCTGGAGGAATGTAGGCAAGTAGGTTACTTAAGAAACCATAATATAGGATTTGAACTCACATCAAAAAGAAAAAAAAGAAATTATAGCACCCTGAGCAAGATTTGATGAGGGTCGTGCAATGTGTCTTTCAAAAAAATTTTCCTTGATCGATATCTTCCTTACCCAACAATGCATTGTGGATGAATTTTCCATCTCACTTATCTAGACTTTCATTGTTATTGCATATCATATATATTATATATTCATTGAGAATAACAGATATTCTCAAACACCAAATCTGCTAATCAATACCAGCGATGTGTATGTTCTGATTATATCACCCGACAGATACATATATACCCATGTTCAAGTGTGTATAAGAGAAGGTTTTCCCGAGTGTTGGAATGCTTGCTTCAAGTATCATGCTTTAGGCTAGTCCAGGTACTAGTCCTGTACTCCAGCCTCTTCTAGTGGGCCTACCTTAAGTGATATCCAATCCCCCACCTCTTCTTCAAAAACAAAGAAGATCCTGCACACTTCAGCTTCCCTTTCGAGAGGAACACTTTCCTATCTGAAAAAGGAGAAGCCAAGAAGAAAGGTTGCTACCACATATTGCCCGTTCATTTCTGAGAAGAATACAAGTTGCCTACTCTTGTGATATAACTCTGTCAGATGTTTTGTCATGCTATAAACAAGGTATAATAAAAACTCAGCGAAATTAAAATACATTAGTTTATGAATCTTGGGCTGATAGTTTCCTGTCTAACTCATTAGGGAGGTTACATTAAGTGCCTATAGTTTCTATTATAGAGGAATATCAGATCATCAAATATTAAAAGCAAATTGAATTTTTCAAAATTATTTATCTCAGTTCTGGGTTAAAAAAATGATTACCTTAGAATGCAGTCTTCATAAAAAGTGAGGTTCCAAAATCTTGGAAAGATCAAGGGGAAGGGGGACATTGTCCAATAAAGAAATAGAATCTTTACCTGGCTTATGTAACTGTAACCCCTCTGTACATCACCTTTATCATGACAGTACGTTTTTTAAAAAGTGCATTTTCTGGCAGAGCCTACTTCTCTGTGGTCAAAGGCTACAAAATGTGCGAGATACACTGAGACAGCTAGAGGTAAAAATAAAAATGTCCTGTTCACAGCATTACCAGCCGTTTGGATCATGAGAGTCATTGAGGTGACCAGCTTTCAAAATACAGCAGTTCAGATACCAATCCACAGCTCTCAGATCTCTTGAGTTCTCATCATGATATGAAGGGACCCAGCAGTTACCAGCCAGGATGTCAGCCTCATCCATGAACTGGGTACTGAAGAGGATCACTCGATCTGCTTTCCGTTCCTTCAGAAGATTCCAGACTCGGTGCCTTGAGATGGGATCCAGCCCGGCGGTGGGTTCATCCAGTAGGAAAATCTAGAGAAGGGGTGGTGGATATATACACACAGCATCTTCCCCTAAGGCCACTTCCTCCAGAAAACAAGGCAGAAATGGTATTATTTAGAGGTGGTAAAACATAGTGGTTAGGATTGTGCTCTTACACGGCATGCTCCATGATATATATCTATGACACCTGCCCTTTGGAATGTGCATATAAGAAGTTTGAACGATGGAGGAAAGTTTCATTCTCTGAAGTTTGAATGCGCCTGTAAATGCCCTCTGACTTACCTGTGGATCTCCTAAGATGGCAATCCCAAAGCTCAACTTTCTCTTCTGCCCTCCACTCAAGTTCTGAGCCAGGACATCCTGGATATTTTTCATTTCCAATTCCAGCAAAACTCTGTTTACCTAAACAAACAACCAATATGTATGTCACACACTAAGATGTCTCACTTTTTTTTTTTGGTCAGGCATGGGGCTTGAACTCTGGGGCTGGGTGCTGTCCCTCCGCTGTTCAGCTTAAGGCGAGTGCTCTACCACTTGAGCCACAGTGCCACTTGTGGTTTTCTGAGTGGTTTATTAGAGATAAGATTCTCACGAACTTTTCCTGACCCAGTTGGCTTTGAACCATGATCCTCAGATCTCAGCCTCCTGAGTAGCTAGGACGACAGGCATCAGCCACCAGCACCCAGCTGTCTCACTCTTTTTTAAAATTCATGAGTCCTAGGCTGTAAGGTGTGAAAGTTGGCAGCATCTAGATGCTGGAATCTAATTGCCCAGGTTTGAGTAACACTCCATGTTTGCCTACTGGGTAATCTAGCCAACAATCTAGGCAGCAAGACAAGTGACTTGTCTAGAACTTCTGTTTCCACATACATAAAACAAGAATAGAGCTGGGCTCCAGTGACTCCTGCCTGTAATCCTAGCTACTCAGAGGTTGAGGTCTGTGGGTTGTGGTTCAAAGTCAGCCCAGGCAGGAAAAGTCTGTGAGACTCTTATCTCCAATTAACCACAAAAGCCAAGACAGGAGCTATGGCTCAAGTGGTAGAATACTAATGTTGAGCAAAAAAACCTCAAAGACAGCATCCATGCCTCGAATTCAGGCCCCAGGATCGGCATAAAAACAAATAAAACAAACAAGCAAATAGAAAACACGAGGATACCAGAAGTTACCTCCTAAGCTTGTCCTGAGGGAAAAATGAATTTTAATGGTTAAAGTTGAAGATAGGACTGTCACATACATGCAAATATTAACTATCATTTAAGCTAGCTTTTCCTGTCCAACACTTATACACTGATTTGCACACAGATCATTTAATGGGTAAAAAAAGTCGAACTCTAGTAGGGATGGGCTTAATTCTCATTCGAGCCATGCATTTGTTCTAACCTATCTGCTTACCTCCTGATCCACTTCTTGTGGCAGAATACCTCTAATTTTAGCAAAGAGCCTGAGGTTCTCTCTCACAGTAAGGAAGTCAAACTGCACATTGGACTGGGGACACACTCCCACCATCTGGAGGATGTTTTCCAGTTCAGCTGCGTCTGAGAGTTCCTTGTTGTAGATGGTCACAGAACCTGTCACAAAGGCCACATGTGCACATCAGCACCATGAGCGGATTAAACCCTTGTCAATCAAAATTGCCATTAGTTCTACTTTAGATAGCTGGTTTTATCTTCAAGGTTTAGGCAACTCGGGCATTACAAATGGCTCATTTTCTGGTAAGGCATGCTGAGAAAGCTGTCCTCTTCGAGTTCCTATTGAAAGCATCATGTCTTGATGAACCCCTCACAGTTAGAGAGGACATTGTGACTCATCCTTTCTCTGCCAGGCTCAAGGAGACCACTGGGAGAAGACTCCCAGGCTAGCTCCCCCCGGAAACAAAAGTCCATATGGGAATAGAGGTTCAGGTCTCCATACTAAAGCCTGGGATTTGTGCGTGGGGCCATGTGAGTTCCCCAAAGCCCCAGTCACTTTCATCTAGAACAGAAAAAACTACCAACCCTCAGATTCGTGGGGGAAAAAGGAAATGTTTACGTTCTCCATCTGCCAATTAAACGTTACAAACTATTACAGCATGATACTATAAACTTCCACTTCTTTTTGCCATAGCATCTGTGTTTCTGGTTAATAATACAAAGGGTTTTTACACTGGCAGCTGATTTATTTGCCAATCTGACATTGGAAGTAAAATAAATGAGCTCTTACCTTTGGTGGGAACAGACAGGCCGCTGAGCACATTCAACAGTGTTGATTTTCCAGCACCACTGTGACCAAGAATTGCGGTGATCTGACCTTCGTAGATGTCCAGTGCCAGGTCTGGGAGGGGAAAAGGAAAGAGGACAAGAGTAAACTAAGAGGGGAGAAAGGAAGGAAACGACAGACACCGCAGATTCTATTTTGGAGCCAAAATAATTGTTACTCTCTTGAATAGTGGTGTTCCTACATTTTGGATGTTCTGGGTTGTTACTGTCAAAACAAAAATAACTTGTTTCCTTTTTTCTTTCTTTCTTTTTTTTGTCAGTTGTGAGGCCTGAACTCTAGGCCTGAGTACTGTCCCTCAGCTCTTCAGCTCAAGGCTAGCGCTCTACCACTTGAGCCACAGCACCACTTCTGGCTTTTTCTGCTTATGTGGTGCTGAGGAAACGAACCCAGGGCCTCATGCATGTGAGACAAGCACTCTACCACTGAGCCACCTTCCCAGCTCCAAAAAAAAAAAAAAAAAAAAAAAAAAAACTTTAAAAAAGTAAACTTGTCTTTCAAAATATCCTTTCTAGAAAATTTTAATGACTTGTTTTTTTCTTTTTTTTGTGGCATTGGAGATTGAACTCAGGTCCTCACCATCACCAGGCGGGAGCTTCAGTACTTGAACCACACTTCTAAGCCTCTTTTTGTGCTGGTTATTCTCAAGGTAGAGTCTCACTTTATGCTGGGCCACCATGGACGTCTACCCTCTTCCTTGTGTTTCGCTGAGTCACTGCAGAGAGAAGGTGCATGCCAGCATAGCCAGCCATCGGTGGTCTTTCCACAGGCGGGACAGCAGGTGCATGCTACCATGCTTAGCTATTGGTGGAGATGAACTCTCGGGACTGTTATGTCTGGGCAGCTATTGGATCAGGATCCCCTGCAGCTCTACCTCAGAAGTAGTAGGAACACAATGTCTAATGACTTGTTTTAAATGATTGAAACATGTTTCGTACTATTGGGCTCACTGACAATGCCTGGCATAGGACAGGTGGATATTAATATTTATGGAATATTTATTGGATGGGAGAATGGACCCATAACTAAGTATCATATAAATATAACTATATATAGGACACATATCACATATATACACATACATATTATCTATAACATCATATATAACATAGAATGTATATAGATATAGAATAAAAACCTTTTTTTTGTCGATCATGGGGCCTGAACTCTAGGCCTGAGTGCTGTCCCGCAGCTCTTCAGCTGAAGTCTAGCACTCTACCGCTTGAGCCATAGCACCACTTCCAGCTTTTTCTGCTTATGATGCTGAGGAATTGAACACAGGGCCTCATGCATGCAAGGCAAGTTTTAAGGGAAAAAAGCCCTGGATATCTTTAAGCTGCATTAGTATTAACATAGAATCAATTTTAAGCACATCTAATTCTCAGTGGGGTTTTTTGGCGGGGGGGGGGGGGGCTGTTGTTTCTGGTCAGCACTGGGATTTTTAACTCAGGGCCTCAAGCTTGTTATAGCTTAAGTGCTCTGTGTCTTAAGCCACAACTACAGCTCTATTTTTCCTTAGTTATTTTTTCAGATAGAGCCTTACATTTCTGTTGGGGACTTGCCTTGGACCTTGAACTATGTCTTCTGCATAGCTGTGACTACAGGCACCACCCAGCATGTCTATCTTGTTTTCCGGAGTCTTGGTAACATTTTTTTACTCATGCTGGCTTGTAAGTATGATCCTTTCAATCTTTAACTCTGGTGTAACTGGGATTATAGGTGTGTACCACTTCATCTGGCCTTAAAAACTCTTTTTTTCCCTTCTAATTTTCATAAAGTAGAAGTTAAGTGCTGAAAGGGAACTTATCATGTGACTCAAATAACTTTTCAAATCTGCTCCTAAAAAGGAAACTAGATTGAATTTAAGTCAGAAAGTTAATATCAACCTATTAATTGCTTTTTTTTAACCTTTCAAAGCTTATCAATGTATTAATTGCATTTTTTTTTACCTTTCAAGGCTTCTATTTTATCAGGTTTTCCTTTATATTCTTTGGTAACATTTCTGATTCTGGAAAAAAAGAAAAACTGTTTCAGGGGGACTTTTCTGCAGTGTGTAATTCCAGTTTGCTCGGCAGAATTGGATGAATCTGAGTTTTCAGAGTAAAGAACAGCTGGGTCTTCACTCTTAAGCTGTCACGTGACAAAATCAGCTGGAATCCTGCCTCCCCTCCCTGGCCACACATCAGCTTGAAAACATTGTACCTAGGCAGCAGAATGTTTTGATTCCATAGATTGGGACCACAAAGCTACAGAAGCCAGACCAGGAGATGACCCGGGCATCCAATACTATAAGGATTATCTGAACCACTGGGGCAGGTTGGGGAAACTTTGGTTGTTTTAGCTTAGGTTTCCAGAGGTTTGTTCAGACAGAGGAGGAAGTAAGGAAGAAAGGCCATGAACCATACTAATTGACTGTAAGTATTTCAATGACCAACCCTACTGAGTTTGTCCTTTATCTACCACTTGGTTTCTCCATTAATCTTAACCAATGTATTTCTTCTATGCAAGTTTCTGTTTTCACAACCTGAAATGTATAATGTGTTGGAGGGTTAAGTGGCATATTTCATCATGGATGTGAAGTGCTTGGTTTCTAGTGAATATCCAACGAGCACAGGATGACGTTGGTTAAATGATGAGAAAAGCAATAAAATAGAATGGAGCTGACACCTGCCTTATGCTACCATAGATCCGGAACCCTACACACTTGATCTGTATGGTGTTATTCTACCAGGTAAATAGAATCCATATGGTAAATCAAATTTATACATTTTGTCATCAAAGAATACTTTAGACACAAATCTACTTAATTAGGCTTTCTCATTTCTATTTTGATCCCATTTAACTGTCATTTTATAATTGGATAGAGTGCTGGAAAGATCAATCAGAAAAACAAGGAACATGGGGGGAGAGAGAGGGAGAGGGAGAGAGAGAGAGGGAGGGAGGGAGGGAGGGAGGGGGAGAGAGAGAGAGAGAGAGCACAAAAAGGCCACTGCTTTGCTCTAAACTGCTCAGCTGGAGACAAACTTAGCTAGTGAGGCAAATAAAGAATAGGAAAATGAGGTGCTGCTGGTGGCTCACACCAGTAATCCTAGCTACTCAAGAGGTTCCAATCGGTACTGGAAAGAAAGTCCTTGAGATTCTTATCTCCAATTAACCACAAAAGGCTTGAGGTGGAGTTGTGGCTCAAGTGTTACAGTGGTAGCCTTAAGACACAAAAGCTTAGGGACAGTTGGTAGGCCCTGATGAGTTCAAGCCCCAGGACCAACACACACAAGTAGATAAATTTGGACCAAAATAAGATGAAAAATGAAATCAGCTGTAGAAGTTGCTGCTCACAGGGGACTGACATGTGTTAACAATGATGGTCCTTGAAGACTTCTTTCCTATTTTCTTATTTGGAGAGAAGAATTCCCCAAAGGAGGATATGCTTAGCTTCCTGAACCCCGTTTGTGATTATCTCTTGACCTTCTCTCTCTTCCTCCTCCCTACCATTATCTTCTTCAAAGAGACAAAAGGAGAAAAGGAAAGAGAAGTTTAAAAACATAGAAGAAAAGCTGATAATAACTAAACAGGGACAAAGCATGAAAGAATGAAGAGAGGAGGGAAGTTAAGAATGGACGAAGAAACAAGAGGTGAAAGATGAAAAGGGTCTTTGTTGGTTATTTCTTGTGAATGTCATCAGCATAACCCTTCAAGGATTTTACTTTACCATAAGCTGGGAAATGCTGGATAGAGCACAAAGCTAGACACAATTATCTACATAGCCCAACAAAAATGCCACTTGCCTCAAGTACTGTATCCCTAAGCATGGCTGGGTCTTCCTTCACATCTTCCTTACCTGATGCCCTCTTTCCCATGGAATTCTGGAGACACTGGTTCAAAAGAGTCATTCAGTGAGGAATCAGAATCTACCACATTGTCCAGTGTCATGTGTTCAGGCTTTTGTTCTGGTGACCAAAATGAGGACTTCAGGAAAAACAAGGGTGGATATTGATGTCCATATTCATCTACAAGACCAGAAGACAAACATTTGGTCAATCACCGTTTTCTGTGAGACTCACTCCCATGAATGTAGCTTGGCAACACATCCTCTTTGTGGCTAAACCTGAACATAGGATCTGCGTACACTATCTTGCTGACATGTACAGCTACATAAAGAAAACCATCACTAAGATAGCTCCTTGCTAATAATAACTTCCATAGGAAGCAATAAAATCATGCTTGAAATTTTTTCCAGAGGGAATTTCAACAAATGCTCTTTTTTTTTCCTTAGTCACCACCAAAAGTGAGATACTGGACTTGAAAATGCAAAGATATGTGACAGCTGCTGAATTTTGTCTAGGAGACTAGTTGTCATTATATTAAGCAAAGGAAGGAAGCTGGGTGCCAGTGGCCAATACCTATAATCCTAGCTACTCAGGAGGCTGAAATCTAAGGATTGTGGTTCAAAGCTAGCCTAGGCAGGAAAATCCATGAAATTCTTATCTCTAATAACCTATCCCCCCAAAGCCAGAAGTGGCTCACATGGTAGAGTGCCAACCTTGAGAAAAAATAAAAGAAATTCAAAGACAGCACCCAAGCCTTGAGTATAAGCCCCAGGGCTAGCACGCGCACACGCGCGCGTGCGCGCACACACACACACACACACACACACACACACACACACACACACACACACACATGAAGGAGATATTGTTGGATATAGAAAACAAATTTTTAAAGAGTAGATTGAGTAGTACTTAAGAAAATAAATGACACACTTGTAAGAAAGTGGGAGTGTGCCTCTTTCTGTCTCCCTCTCTCGCTCACTGTCACACACATACAATACAAAACAAAAAGTCACAAAGCTAAAAATGTAACATTATTCCATAGAGCTTCATAAAACATTTATAACTGTGCCATTAAAATAAATTTGAAAAAAAGACTTAAAGAAGATAAAATAACAGCAGAAAACACACAAAATAAAAGGTAAATTGATTAAGCAAAGTGATTTCTAAGAAGATACCATTGTGCCATTGCAAGTATAGTGACATGTGTCTGTGAACACACTGCTCACAAACACATTGCACATGCAAAGGCATACAGCATAAAATGGAAGCCTGGTATTTGAAGAAGTTGAAGAAAACAAGAAGGGTTTGTAATTACAAGGGTCACATTGGCAATGTTCCTAATATAACAAGAAATGAACCCAGTTTGCCAACCCTTTGTGGTGTACACAAAAGTCACAGCAATTTTGTCATAAAAATCAAAGCCAAAGGGGAAAATAGTATTTAAATATAGTAGTAAGGGATAAGAATATGTGTAAGCAATGTTTTTTCTGTGGGTCACAATTTTTTTATCCCTGCTACAAAACAAATGACAGCATAAGGTAACTATTGAAATGACTCTGTATAAAATCCTATCAGCCCCCAATTTTAGAACATGACATCTCTTATTCTAAAAATCAGAAACAAGGATCATTCTTAAGAGATTATCTAAATATCACAATTAATTCACGGCTTCCCAAGCTGATTCTCTTCTGACTGCCCTTTTTTTCCATCTGTCTTTTCTGTGTGTAGATTTTTTGTTTATTTTTATTTTATTTTATTTTTTTTTGGGTCCGGTCATGGGGCCTGAACTCTGGGCCTGGGCGCTGTCCCTCAGCTCTTCAGCTCAAGGCTAGCGCTCTACCACTTGAGCCACAGCGCCACTTCCGGCTTTTTTCTGTTTGCTTATGTGGTGCTGAGGAATCGAACCCAGGGCCTCAGGCATGCAAGGCACGCGCTCTACCACTGAGCCACCTTCCCAGTCCCTGTAGATTTTTGTTTATTAAGGAAGGGACCTTGAGGTTCTGTCTTGAATGGGAAATGCAGTGGGGAAAGATGTAGTCCATCCTTGCCACTGATTTTACAAGGAAGAGAGATAGTGTCAGCATATTCAGGACATTGCTACAATTGACTTAATGCCGTATTTTTCCTGAGGAGGAATGTGTGGTGATAGTGCAGTCATCTCCTTACAGACACTTAGGTTGGTTCTATTATCTTGGATGGTGTGAACAGTGCTGCAATCTCTCTGGCATGCTGATACCTTATTCTCTAAATTATATTTTATTATCTCTCAGTAGTTGTACCAAGGGGCTGGCATACTGATTGCCTTTCCATTGAATAGGTGCCAAACAGTGAGATTTCATGCGGCAATTCTCTTTGTAATGTTTCAAGCAACCTCCGAACTGTCTTCCATAATAACCGTATACCTACCCCAAAACTGTTTGAATGAAATGGGAGGCCACCATGTGCAGTGAATAGGCCAAGCATAAAAAGATAATTGCAGTATGCATACTCATGTCCTAGAATTGATAAGTCCCATCTGAATCTCCCTTCGGTGAGAGCTAAGCTTCTTATTCCTTTCAGTCTCTCTGTGTGGCTCTTTATGTGTAGGCAGGACTCAGAATTAGCACACTAACTAGTTATACATAAGCTGCCATACGTTTTGGTGATTACCAGATCCACGTAGGAACAAGCTGCCCAAACCTCCCCTTGACAACACCAAGCCATATCTCAGAAAAGAGTGAGTTCAAACACCAACCAGATACGATACACATAAGCTTTAATTCTATGTCTTTTTTTGTTTGTAACTTGTGGGGCTTGAACTCAGGGTTGGGCTTGGTCCCTGAGCTTCTTTTGCTCAAGGTTAGTGCTCTACCACTTTGAGTCACAGTGCCACTTCCAGTTTTCTGGTGGCTAAATGGAGACAAGATTCTCATGGACTTTCCTGCCTGGGCTGGTTTAGAACCAAGATGTTTAGATCTTAGCCTCCTGAGAAGCTAGGATTATAGGTGTGAACCACTGGCACCCAGGTTGGCTTCAATTCTTAACAGCCAAATGGCAAAGGAATGGGAGGGGTGATATTAATCAAGATTTGTCAAGCACATAAATGAATGTGTTGAATTGAAACCCCTTCATACCACTATCTAAAGATTATTAAAAAAGTAAATTTTGAATAAAATAATAAAAAGAATACTAATTTGGCTAATATATCCATTATCCATTTCCTTCTGTTGATACCCAAAGTGGTTTTTTTAAATATATAAATAATGTGTTCATTGTTAAGAGATTTGTGTCAGAAAATAAAGCTAATAAAATGATATTGTACTTTAATTAACAGACTACTCACTTGGCAAAATCTTCTCAAAGTACATCGTCAATGCCAGGTAGAGGAATGTATCAAATGCCAGCATGAAGTTTGTGGCTATGATGAGATTTGAGCTGCTTGGGTCAGGAGATGCATTAGAATTCAAATCATAATCCAAGTGTAACATCTGAGGATTAAAAATATATATTAATGGAAATTAGATTTATGATAAAATTTAAGCCAAATCTAGCACAGGAGTAAAATAGCTACTTACTATCTCATGCCAGGAATAGGAAGTTAAATAAGGAGATTGTCTATAGCCTCAGTCTTTTGAAAAGTATGGACATATGAGCAACTATCATGCAACTTAATAGTTGCCATAATTTTAAAATACCCACATGCTAAGTGACTTGGAATGTTCAGAGGAGATAGGGTAAACATGGCAAAGGTATTTGAACCTAAACTTAGACTTTTTCAATAGAACTTAGTCAAAACATAATATTATCTGACAGTCTTACACAAAGGGGAGTTTTCACTAGGGGGAGAAAAAAAGAACCATTGGTGAGTTTTACAAGGAGCCAATGGGTAAATGTTCAAGTCAATAAGTGCTTCATAATCAACAATGTCTTAACTACTGCTACTTAATGATTGACGTTACCCTTTAATTGGATGTAAGGCAAGTTGAGTCCAATAAGAATCAAATAATCGGGAATATGTTTTTAAGGTGAAAAAAATGAACATTGTCTATTGCAAATGCTTTCTGAAAGTCTTATTTTTCTGGGCTAAATATACTTCCAAAGCGTTCAAAAGTTCATCCTTGTAAATTCAGAGTCCACATGTGGGTTTAAAATCTCCCAACCTGGAGCGTGAATGTGATGGCAGACTGTTGAATTCCAGAGGAAAACAACATTGGTGGTAAACAATTAGATGGAGTCTCACCTGGGACATCCCAAGCATGAAGGCGAAGGGACTAAAAACGCTTAGAATCCACTCCAAGGATACAGGAAGGTATCTGTACAATGCGGTGAACCCCAAGCTCCCCCAAAAGATGGTGAGAAGGAACACAAGCTGGCCGGTGAGGAAAGACTTCTTTACCAAGACGCTCATCAAGAAAGCCAGCGCTATCTACAATGAGAGAAGACCCTGTCATGATTTTTTCTGAATCATTAGTAACACATTTGAGAGGATCTGATAAACAATTATAGTTACATTATTTACCATGAATATGCAAAGTTTTTAATTGTAAGTGGTACCAAAAATTGGCATTACAAAATTCTATACATCAAATAGCACTTGTCTATAGACTTTTCACTCAAATAGACCAGATAAGAAACAAATATGCAGAGTAATGACTTCATTGGAAGCCAAGCTAGCAACTTGATTTTGTGATACAAGAATAGAAACTAAGGTTTCATACATGCTAGGCAAGTGATCTATTGCTTAGATCATTCCTCTTGCCCTTTTGTTTTGTTTATTTGTAAGGTAGGGAATCAACTAACTTTGCCTGTGTTGGTCTTGAGCTCTAAATTCTCGTGCCTTTACTTCTGAGGAGCTATGCCACCAGGCTGGGCTCCCAACACTTGATTCTTCGGATAAGAGTTAGACAGGGAAAGATTTATTAACTCACCGTGGACAATCCATAAAGAAGAAAGAGGGTGAAGACTATCATGAAGTCAGTCATGACAAAAAACTGGATAGATTTGATCACAAGTGCCAAGCAAAGGGCCATAATGAAGATGAAACCGGCATAGAGCAAACCCCAGGACAGCCTGATGTGTAAACAAAATACTATTTTAGAATTTCATGTGCAGCTGAATAGGAGACCTGCAATCCCATCGAATGTCTCTGTTTGTTCATTGCTTCATTCATTCATTCACGGCCCCATTCAGCAGGAATTTATTGAGTGTTCTACCGTAAGCAAACACACTGTGAAAATTCTGGGCAGCATTTGTTGCAAATTGTAAGTTTTCTTTTTCTTATCATATGTTTCAGAAACCCACACACCTGTGCAGGTGCAGACACACATGAGTCAAAGTGAACAAAGGAATATTAGGTTGCCCATCTCATCTTTCTCTGGCTATATATATCAACTAGTCTTACTTGCTTTTGATTCTACACATCTCCTATTAAGACAGAATTTTTTTTTCAAAATCCCATTTCTTTTGTTTGAGAAGAATTTTCCTTCGCTTATCAATTTTTTTATCTGTTTTACAAAAATTGTAGAAAGGCATAAAGAAACAATGACCATTTAACAATAAGAAACCAAACTGCTATAAACCCCCACATTAACATATAACACATAAAGCAGTTATTATGTCTTGGATAATGTTTGAAGGACTTAGTAACTATGAAGTTATCTGGCTTTTCACCCAATCTCCATGCCAATTTCTCTTTTTTAACTCATTTTCTTTCTAGAGACCCTAGTGAACAAGTATATTAAGTAACTATGTTTCACATCTCGATGTTTTGCTCTAGAGTTTCTAGATTTCACTGCTTGGCTACATTTTCCTTTGATATTAATTCAATAGAGCAGTCAATACTGATTTCTAGGATTTTAGTGCTGGAAGAAACTCTAAGTCCTAACTTGTAGCCACAGGCTTCATCCATTAGGCCCTGGGTCTCCCTTTCTCCCTCTAGACATCACTTCCTGACTCTTTCACAAGTTCTCAGAACTTTTTCCATTCATACTCCTACTTTTTAGTCCCAAAGGAGCTCCTCATCCTTGAGCTCTTTTGTTCCATTCAATTATGTCCTGGCCACAATTCTATCTAGCCGAGACATCATTGTGTAACTTTCCTACCACTCACTCCAACTCCTAACTCACTCACCTAACCCAGTGCTCTTTCTTTTAGAACCACAGCAACACCCAACCCCAGCCTGGCAAGTGTTACGCCAGGGACAACACATTCCATTCATAGGGATAATGGAGAGAGGCTAGAAAGTCATTCGATACTTTGAAGATGTCTGCTTGTCTTTTTTTTTTTTTTTTTCATTTATCGATTTCTCTATCCTACATGTGACTCACCAGAAGGCCAAATCTCGAAGGCCCATCATTTTCATCAAACCCTTCATCTTTTTCCTCTCTCTTGTAACATTGACAGATGCATAATAACTGAATGGGGAGAAGGCAATAATGCAGAAGAGGATGAAGAAGTCAGTTGTAACTCCTCCTTGACCGATGAAGGGATGTACCACCATGAACTTCCCAGTGACTGACATCAGTTTCTCCATCACAGAATGATTGGTTGTGACCTGAAGGCAGGCAGTAAACAAAAATGGTGCATCAATGAAGGGCATGCTCTATTTTTAAAAAGTTGTTCTTGTTTAAACCATCCCCTTTCCTAAGAATGAGTAGCTAGCCTGTGAGCATCTGATGCTCTCCTAAATTCCTACATCCGACATCTTTGAGCTGTCCACAGGTTGTTGAGTTTCCTATGTGTTTTATTAGTTGGCACCCTTTATTTGGATCACGTTATTTGATTGAAATGCCTTTTCCAACCTTATATATATATTGGATTCTATAACTCCGGGTTTGAGTCAAGGTTTTTTATAGGGTCTGAGCAAGGAGACAGGGGTTACATGTGTTTAGTATGGGGCAGGGGTGTCTGTAGACATGGGCAGAGAATAGGGTAAGTATTCCCTCATCCAAGGTCTCATGTTTTTAAATATTCAAACAGCTCTATATCTGTCTTGCCCAGAAGGTTTGACCTTCACAAGATACAGCTTTTAGTCTTCCAATCTCTTAACTCTTTTCTGGCTTACAGCTTGGCCTCAGAGCCTTATGGGCTAGGTTTACCATGGAATATTTACAGTCAGGCTCAGGTCGGATTGTCCTGTCTGTGTCAGGCTGTCGGTGCATAGCTTTGATGGCTTGCTCCATGTCTGTATGTATCTGGGTAAACAGGGTGGGGGCCAATCTTTCACTTCTAACAATAAAAAATTTATATACTAAGTATATATCTGTATACTTAGATTCCTGACACAGATTGGTTCAAGTAAGAGCCAGGTTTTCTTCTTAGAATATTTATCTCCTCATGACATTTAGCATCCTCAGTAAACTTTGACATAAAGACATGAATGAGTGAATGCAAGAACAAGCCCATTCATTTGTATTTTCTCCCATGAAACATTTAGTGCCTTGAATAGCATTAATTTGCCTTGAACATTAGTTTTCATTGAACATTTTGTACTTACTTCAATAATGGCAGCATTAATGGCAGCTTGAAGAGCCACAAAACCTTCCTTCCAGAATATTGAAAGTTGACAGTCAATATCTTCATTTATTTCGACACAATGAGCTTTGTGGAAAGAAATAGAACCCATAACTTTCACTGAGTTATTTCCTTCCTCATAATAGGAAATGGCTTTCACAAATGTGAGAAGAGTATCATTGAAAATGTTTTTAGAACCTATTATGCATTGTGAAATACTTAACTAACGCTTTGTTCTAACATGAGGTACAACACAGAAACGTAATGGACAAATATGAAAGTTTGAATTCCCTTCAGTCATGTTGATCAGAATGTACTTCAAAGACAAAGATTTTGAAGACAAAGTTTGTTGAAGTTTTAACTGCCTTAAAAGTGATGTTCTTCAGTAAGATGAAATGAATACAGGTATGAATGCACCGTGTGTTAAGACTTCTCAAAAATATTATGAACTTATTCAAATGATACTTAATAATGTAAAATATAAAATGTAATACATATAAAACATAAAATAAGATACAGTGATGTGTTTGCCCTAGTACCTGGCTCTAACCAGCTAATGAGTTTCCTAGGCTTTGTGTTTAGATGTTTTTAAGCTCTCACTATGTTTTCCACTCCATATTATTTAACGTTTTGATTGATTTAACATTTGACTTAACAGTTCATATTTTCAGTTTTACTGAAAAGGAATGTACTCTGCTTGACTGACTCTCCTGACTCTCATTACAAACTCTTGACTGTGTGAGGGAGAGTAAGTTTGTATTCGGAGATATTCTATCTTTGTTTCCTGTGTGGAAGATTGCTCTTTTTAGAGATGCTACTCTTTCTATAGTTACCCTAGTGCTGGACCAGCTAAAGACCACTTTATTTGAATTTACAATTAGGATAACATCATAAAGAACTACAATCCCAGGAAATGGTGAACTCAGAGCTATAATTTCTTACATTCATTATATTCTTACATACACATATACATTCTTATATTATACATACATATATATTCTTACATACATGATAATTTCTTCATTCAGAACCCAAAAGAAGACAGATGAGCGTCTTTTTCTTCTTTCTCACATAAAGGGCTTTTTAATTTGTATTCTTGCTAAATATATCAAATCTCCAGACTCCAAATTGACATAAGAAACTCAATTATGTCTCTGACCTAAGGTCTTCTTATCTGTTCCTATGCATACATGCATGTATGTAAATGCACACATAAATAATAAGAAACTGTCCCTCTATGTCCATATAGCAATATATAGAACACATACGTATAGCTCAAAAATGAACATCCACTCTCACAAGGGTTGTCTAGTTTGACATGCTAACAGCTATCCCCATGAAAGGCTCAAAACATAATTGAAATTGAGAATGATGGAGTTATATCCTTGAAAAGTTACCTGTGTGGTCTCTGTGCTCTTTCCTTACTGGGATTCTTTTCCCTAACACGAATTTCAGATGGTAGGAGTATGTATCAGTGAAAATGACTCTTGCTATTTCCTCATGGTAATTTGCTGTTACTTCTTTAATACTTTCTTCATCAGACATTCCAAAAACTTCTCTGCCTGCCATTAACGGAAGGGAATATTATTTTTTTGTTTTTTAATATATATTTATATTGTAAAGATACTGTACAGCTGGGCGCCGGTGGCTCATGCCACCTATAATCCTAGCTATTGAGAAAGTTGAGATCTGAGGATCTCCATTCAAAGTGAACCTTGGCAGGGAAGTCCATAAGACTCAAGATGCCAGGTTCAATTGTTTTCACTACAGTTCTTTGTGAAAGTAAAATGAAACCAAGGGCTGGTTTCTAGCAAGTCAGGGAATCCCCAAGTTTGGGAGAGATCCAGGCACAGCCAGAAGAAACAAATTAACATACGTAGTCAAAGGGAACCAAATTTGGTCACCATATATTCCTCCTGCATTGTCAGGGGACTCACCTGTCATGAAAGAGGTAGAGGCAACTTTCTTCATGATCTGTTGGGTTGTATTGGTAAGAGGAGTGTAGGCAATTGTAAATCTGGGCCCACTAAATGAATCTACTCTTCCCAAGTCCATAGAATTCAGGGAAGAAAAATCATTAACTTGATGATAGTTAGGATATATGTACAACAAAAGCAGGAGGAGGAAAGCATTCATCCATTCCTACACAAATCCAGGAAAAAGAATAGTCATGATTTCAAAGCATTCATCCACAATCTCTTTGACCTAGTTGGTCAAGGAGTTTGTCTCTTTGTAAAAACTTCAACATGTTCCCCATTTTGGAACCATTTCAAATAGGTAGAGTACAAATTCAGTGCTCATGAGCTGTTAATAGGAATTCAAATGAACTGAATTCCAGGACTAAAACTAAAGCCTGTACTGACCTGAGAATATGTGAAATGCAACCAGGCAAAGTGTAAATCATTGTCAGTAATATTACTTTGGTCACCTACTCTAGGCAGGAGGATCATGAGTTTGAGGCCAACCTGCGCCACAAACCAAATCAAAGCAAAACAAAGAGAACAAAACATTACTCAGATATACCCATCTGGTTAAAAACCAAAAGATACCAAAGATCAAACAGGCTTTGTGTCACATGGTAAGGCTATCAGTTAATGATAACTTTCTTCTTGGCACTGAATACATCTACAACCTTTGCTACTATTTTTGAGGATCATGAATTATTTTTAACAAGAAACTCAAAAGAGAAAGATGCTGGCTACTTGCTTCTGTGGTTTATTTGTCATATCTTTAGAATATCCCTATCTTAACCTTCCTTGTGAGTTTGGAGCACTTGTAAAAGTAAGACCACTGGTTTTCCAAACACTCATTGAATTCTTAATTTCTTACCAGTTTCAGTGCTTTTAACAGATTCGTGGTTGGATACTGTATCATACTGTTACACAAGGGTGTGTCATTTATTTATCCACTTATTTTCTGTGTATGCATCATTCCTAAACAGCCTATGTACTGCACAATAACAGAAATATCAAGTGGCATCAATAGCAAGTCATACCATTAATGTTTCTCTTTTCATTCTCCATTTTTTAAGGATGTTCTTGTGTAACAATGCCCACGTTTGCTGACACACGCGTATCTCTCTGTTGCCCATTTTATCCTGTCTAGTGAGAAAGAACAGAAAACATAGTAAATGCCAAGTTCTTTCCAAGTGCAAATATCCCATGAATGAGAAGAAAATATTGAATGCTGATAACTTCAGTATTCAAAACTAATGCTTAGAGTCTGGGAGTTTCCAAGTTTGCATTTTATTACACCCAGGCCATCCTCTCCTCAATATCAGACTATACTCCATCATTTAGCTGCCAGTTACTGACTTAACTGTCTTTTAGTTGTGCAATCTGCTCTACGAAAATGGGCTTAGCTCTTTACACTTTTTTCTTTTGCTAGCTAGCATTACCTTAAACTTTTCCAGTAATGTACATCTCTTAGTATTTTATGTTGCTGTTAGAAATACTTGAAGCTGGTTGCTTTAAAAGTAAAGAGGATTTCTTTTTCTTTTTCTTTTGTCGGTCATGGGGCTTGAACTCTAGACCTGGGCACTGTCCCTGAGCATTTCAGCTCAAGGCGAGCACTCTACCACTTGAGTCACAGTGCCACTTCTGGCTTTCTGGTTAATTGGAGATAAGAGTCTCACGGACTTTCCTTGCATGGGCTGGCTTCGAACCAAAATCCTCAGATCTCAGCCTCCTGAGTAGCTAGGATTATAGGCATGAGCCACCAATGCCTGGCTATTAAAAAGGATTCTTTAGGCTAACATTGTTCACCTATCTTTATCTGTCCCTCTAAGCTTTGTAAGCTGTGGTTGACTTCTAAAAGGTTTTGTCTGATACAAGAAAAATCCTTAATTGCTTTAATGCTTAAAAATCTGATAGAAAAGCTATATTTTAAGATGTGAATTAAATCCTGAGTGAATTTTCACAATTGGCCCCACAAGTTTTATTCTCACACTAAACTGCTTTTAATCTGATTCTAGTTTTGTCTCAATTTTTACTTTATTGCATATATTCTTTCAGTTCTTTTTTTTTTTTGGTCGGCTGTGGGGCTTGAACTCTGGGCCTGGGCGCTGTCCCTCAGCTCTTCAGCTCAAGGCGAGTGCTCTACCACTTGAGCTACAGCGCCACTTCTGGTTTTTCTGGTGGTTATTGGAGATAGGAGTCTCACGGTCTCTCCTGCCCGGGCTGGCTTTGAACCGCGATCCTCAGATCTCAGCCTCCAGAGTAGCTAGGATTACAGGCGTGAGCCACCAGCGCCCGGCATTCTTTCAGTTCTTACTGAACCAATAAATATTTCTTCCCTTCCTCTGTTTCCTCTCCTCTCCCAAAGATATATAAGGCATACTTACTCCTTTAATGGTTACTCTTACATTTTAGACTTTTCCGAAAAGTCTAAAAACTCCCCTGGAAACTTTGAGATATAAGTACTCTCAAAAATGTCTTTCCTGTGGGAGGAAATTGGATATCTAAGCTGAATTAGAGGAAGGAAGTTAAGAGATTCTGGAATGCTCATTGTGTTTATTATTTATTCATTTGTTGTTTATTCTATCATTATTATTTATTTATTGTTATACTGGACCAGAGAGGTTACTGTTTCACAAGGCAGGTAATGTGTACATCTCTTTTTTGGACAATATCACCCCTTCCTTTGGCCTTGCCCAGTTCCCCCCCCTCCCCGCCCACGTTATATAGTTCATTTTCAATGTAGTGTCTAGTGAGTACCCCTGATGCATTTGTTCACCCTTTGTCCGTCGATTTTGTTCCAGCCTCTCCTCCAGAAAAGATAAAAAAATTTAAAAAACAATACAACCCCCCCCTACAACAACCCAAGAATAAACATACCCAGAAAACCCCCAAAGCAAAAGCAGGCAAGACCATGTCCACTAACCGCCTTGGGTTTTTGAGAACCATCCCATCCAAGAGACAGTCTCTTCCCTTGAGAAACCCTACGATTGCCTTTCACCTGTCCATAGTGAGCCCGAGTGGGCAGGTCCCCACCTGAAGCCCTCGGTCCCCATTCATAGGACAGGATCCTGTTCAGGGCACAACGATTTCATACAGTCTAAGCTCAGGCAAGGAGGCCAGAGGCCAGTTGCAATGAAAGACACACCAGCAGGCAAGCTGAGAGGTATTGCAGAACTGCTACACGTGACTGGTAGTGAAGCTGAGCAGAGAGAGAAACAAGGAAGCCCAGGGAAAGACAATTCCAGGAAGGCAATAGCGTTAGGTCAGTGTTGAGTGAGGAATGTCTGTGGAACCCTGTAAGTCATTAGTACAGAGAATTCAGTGTGGGCGATTTTAAGGGGCCAGTGCAGGGTTGTGGAAGAGGGTGAACTGGCCAAGACAGAGATCTCTTCAGTTTAGCATCAGCTACAGCTCCATGGGAATCCAATCCCTTACACTATTTTTTCCACTTGTAAGGAATATGATTATTTTGTCTCTCCTCAAATGCTGCACATTCTGTACTTTGTAAAAAAAATACACATAATCCTAATGACAGGAATTTCTTGTTATACATATGGCAAATAGCTTACAAGTTAGAATAATTGAAGGTTTTCCTCTCATACTGTTGTCAAATTCCGAACTAAATTCTTACACTCTAAAAGCATTAAACTTCTGCTTACCACAAATAATATGTATCTGAGATACCGTTGTGATAAGAGGAAGGGACATAGTCCACATTCTGGTTCAAACTCAAGGTCTCCAAATAGGGTGTGTGGGGAGGGGCGCAGGAGGAGATCTCACAGAAAATATCTTTTTCACTAAAATTCCTAAATCCCAAGAGTAATAGGAAGGGATGATAAAAATATTTCTGTAAAGGTGGTTGATAAACACTGTTAAAACTAGAAAAACAGCTATCCCCAAATGCCTTGAAATTACTCTGAAATAGAAATAAATAATGACTGCTTCAAAACCATCACAGGCTTACAAATCCATTCACAAGATTCTAAGCTCTTCTATAATCAAATTGATAACCAATTTGAGCTTATTTCTACATTCATTCTCTCTCCTCACATGGTATAGTGATTACAAAGTTCTCAAAAACTTTTAACTCAATGTTTTTATATGCATACTATTAAACAGCAGATACCATAACACTTCAAACTGGCCTAGTGATTTTCAAAGTAATTTCAGCACAGATCTTTAGAATTTAGCTCATAAAATTTTATCATGTGGTTATAAGAAAAAAAATAAAGAAAGTAATCCAGGTCAAAAAGCAACAGCAACAATAACAGAAAGCAAACACCATTGCATAACAGAAAAAAAACAAAACACTAAAACCAACCAAATACAAGGAACTTACTTTTGAGAAATTTGAAGCAAGGAATCTAGAGACACAGTTTGTCCTCTGGTCTCTGTGTTTAGAAGACAATAGCTTTTTAATTTTTTTCCTGGGGTCTATCACATCTCTAGAATTTGCATTAACCATTTGACTTCTGTGAACCGATCCTGTGAAGTCTGCTTTCAAAAGGAGCTTATGAGCTCAGTTCTGTTCCTTCTGCCAAATACCATGCTCACGTGACCATTCTTGGACTGTTTGTCTTTTCATTGATATTCAGCCAGGCCTTTCAGAGAGCAGTCGCATTTATGGTTGGTGTCCAGGTTCTGTCATAGTATAAAGTTGCACTCTTACAGAGAAAATGCAATATTGATCAGCATTCTCTCCCTATAGCTTCCAGAAGCTTTTCTCTATAGCAAGATGACCGCTGCTGTAAGCTGATGTGGCTTAAAGCATGCTCTTTAAAAACACAAGAAGGTAAACAGCTTAATCAGAGAAAATTTTGTTGCACTGACAACTCTTAGATGTTTATTCCTGTTTCCAGTTTCACTTGTATGCAGTCCTAACTATTTTCTCATTTCCCTTGACATTTATTTTTTGACCCCTGTCTTATTTAGCAGTATGTTGCTTAATTTCCAAATGTCTGGTTTTTGTTTTTCTTTTTGGTTATTGATTTTTTTTAGCTTAATTCTATTGTAGTCTGAAACATTTTGCCTGATGTATGGGTAAGGCTTGTCACAGGATAGGGTATATATTAGTGAATATTCTATATGCACTGGAAAAGATGTGTATTTTACTGTAGTTTTTTGCATAGGTACATTATAATCAGGCCAACATCCACACTGGGCTCTAAAGAGAGTTGTGATGAGTTTGAAGTCAAGTACTTGTACATTCATAAGTTTGATCTTTTACCAAAGACATCGATAGCAGAAGATCTGATTAATTACATTTTTGTATTTTTAAGTTACATCAGTACTGTCTTCAAAAACATAAAATCACCTCCAAGATTCTTTAAAGTATTGTATTCATTTGTTTATTTTTGCAGTTACAGGAGCTTCTTTTTTTGGGGGGTGGTCCGGTCATGGGGCTTGAACTCTGGGCCTGGGCGCTGTCCCTCAGCTCTTCAGCTCAAGACTAGCGCTCTACCACTTGAGCCACAGCGCCACTTCCAGCTTTTTTCTTTTTGCTTATGTGGTGCTGAGGAATCGAACCCAGAGCCTCAGGCATGCAAGGCAAGTGCTCTACCACTGAGCCACCTTCCCAGCCCCAGTTACAGGAGTTTTTAACTCAGGTCTTGGTGCTTTAGCTTGCTTGCTGAAGGTGGATGCTTTACCACTTGAACCATAAATCCAGCTTGGAACTTTGCTTGTTAGGGATGTAGTTTCTTGGACTTTTCTGCCTAGACTGGCTTTAAAGCTAGATCTTTCTTATCTCAACCTCTTCAGTAGCTAGAATTTCAGGAGTAAACAAATTGTGCCTATTTAATAAATTTATTTATTTTAACTTTGTCCATTCTAGTCCTTTGATATGCTATGCAATGTGACAGAGGCCCACAATTGATGTGGAAATATAACACAAAAAGGAAGTAGTAAGTTTATTTTAAAAAAATAAAGCACACTCCTCTAGAACAGATAATAGCTTTCTTCACATACAATATTATCTGTTAGATATATTATTAATTTTTAATCAGGTATACTACATTATCAAGTTTTAGTGCTTTTCAAATCAATTGGGCGAAACCTTATGAGAAATAGTTGAAACTGTCTCAAAACTTAGAATTTGCTTAAAATACTCACTAACATGGTCACTTGAACACTTAGTTTTACAAAATAATTGATATTTATTATCTCAGTAACTTCTCCATTTTACAAAACATTTTCAACTTCTAGAACAGTGAAAATAATCATATTTCCCAACCTGAGTTTATAAATAACCAACAACCAGTTGGATCAACTCAATGAGATAGAAATTATTTTAAAATTCAGAATAAATCACAAAATAAAACAGTGTGCTGCTGTTACTTATTTTTCTCACCTTAATCTGTTCTAATTTTGTTTAAATCAATAAAAACAAGGTTTAGAGAGAAATAGAAAAAATCTGTGTATATATACAATTTAAAATACCTTATCTGAGTGGATTTCTTTATAAAAATAGTAATTTATACTTAAAATAGAATTCAAGCTCTGTGTCAGTGTCTGCAGGCTGAGATCTGAGGATCATGGTTCAAAGCCAGCCCAGACAGGAAAGTCCATAAGAGTGTTCTATATAATTAAACACTTAAAAAAAAAAAAGCCAAAAGTGGATGTGTAGCTCAAATGATAGAATGCTAATTTTGAGCAAAAAAAAGCACAGGGACAGAACCTAGGCCCTGAGTTCAAGCCCCAGGACTGGCACACACACAAATTTAATCTATTTCCCTAACATCTATCATCTTTCTACAATTTATCATTTATCTATGTATCTTAGCATCTATTTGATCGCTGCCATCTATTATCTCTTCATAATTATGTTTACATGCCTTTATCACATATATACATATGTACATATCTATGTATTATTTATCACAATCTAGCTATGGTCTACCTATCATCTATTACTGTTCTACATTTCCCATCATTGTCTACCTCACTCTCCATTTCTCTATCTGAGCTATGACTAGATGGTCTCAGTCAATGCACTCACTGGATTCGAGCTCTTGTTCTTTTCCTTTGTCACAAAGACTCATTTCTGTATTTCTGTGTCAAACTATAACATGGGTTGTGTTGGGCTGGGGCGAAGTCATCCTGCGAGGGCTGACATTCTAGCAGCCAAAATTCTGACTGGTTGTCTGGCTTGGCCTGGCCACTAACATTAACCCCCTCACTCCTCTGCTCACAACACAGACCTCTTCTCCTTGTAGACTTCCTTCCTATAAAAGCTGTGGCTTGTTACCTCATAGCCCATTAAGGTCTCCATGAAATGGGCCCGCTGCTCCACTGTTCCATAAGGGCCCCCCAGGACTCAGAAGAACTCTGTGTAGAACACATGGCTGACAAAGATTGAACTTATTTGAACTTATTTGTATCCAGATGGTGTGACAAATTTTACATAGAGTACAAATAAGCAAATACAAATATCTTAAATGTCAAAAGCAAGGCAGTAAATATCCATGGATTGAGCTTGTCAGTGCATCTGTTTATGTCTCAGAGAGGAAAGAGATTCCCTGTCAATGCTCTCCAGTTCACCACATGGAAGCGGGAGGGAACAAAGACTGCAGAGCGGGCTCCTTCCCTGGACAGACCTCCACGGGTTTGCATACTCAGCACAGGGGCGGGAAGCTGAGGGGGGAGACCCTGGAACACAGGGCTGCAGATGACATGAAGCCATTCTTGTTTCTTAGCCATTCTTAGACAGAGGCCTCTGAAGTTTGTCTCTAGAGGACTGGGGAACTCTCCTGATGGGCGAAAATAAGCTGGGAGGGCAGGTAGAGCCCACCCAAATGAACTGACAATACTCCACAGCAGTCCTAGGCCAGGACAGACCATAGTGGCTAGAATGACTGTAGGATTGAGGTGCGCAGCTTAATCAGAGAACCCAAAGAAAATGGTCACTATGAACACAGCCATCAACTAGGAGTCAAAGGGTCTCTAGAACCGGGGGATAGGTGACAAGCAAGTATGATCACCGGACAGTGGCAATGTAAACAGTCTACAGAGGGAACTCAGATGAGCAGAACTCAAGGGAAAAATAAGCAAAAAGATCCATGACTGCGTTAGAACAGAGACGCAGAGTGCTTCACTATAAAGCACAAGCAGCTGCAGGAAGATGATTGACATTGTGTCTAGATGACAGGACTAAGCTTTTTTTCTTTTTGTCGGTCATGGGGCTTGAGCTCTGGACCTGGGCGCTGTCCCTGAGCTCTTCAGCTCAAGGTGAATGCTCTACCACTTGAGCCACAGTACCACTGCCAGTTTTCTGGTGGTTAATTAAAGATAAGAGTCTCACAGACCTTCCTGCTGGGGCTGGCTTTGAACAGCGATCCCCCAATCTCAGCCTCCTAAATTAACTAGGATTACAAGCATGAGCCACCAGTGCCTGGCTGAGCTAGCTTTCTTTCTTTCCTTTTTTCCTTCTTTCCTTCCTTCCCTTTCTTTCTTTCTTTCTTTCTTCCTTTCTTTCTTTCTTTCTTTCTTTCTTTCTTTCTTTCTTTCTTTCTTTCTTTCTTTCTTTCTTTCTTTCTTTCTTTCTTTCTTTCTTTCTTTCTTTCCTCCTCCCTTCCTTCCTTCTTTCTTTCTTTCCTCCTTCCTTCCTTCCTTCCTTCTTTCTTTCTTCCTTCCTTTCTTTCTTCTTTTGAGAAAGAACAAAACAGTTGAATTTGGAATAAAATAATCAATAAAGATATGTAACATCAACCCCAGAGAGCCACTAAATAAAAATATAAGTAGACAAAGCAGTATAGCCAGCTAATATATCTATAAATATAGACATAAAAATAAAATATGCAGAAGCAAGAGAGGAATAGAGGAAAAATAGTGACCAGATGGGAAAATTATATATGCTTTTAGTAACTCTACTCAACCATTTCATTTTATTTTATTTTTTATTGTGAAAATACTGTATAGAGGGGTTACAATTACATGGGCAAGATAATGAGTACATTTCTTATGTTGCCTCCTCTTTTATTTCCCCTTCCCCTCTCCCGTCCCCCCCATCCCCCCGACCAAAGTTGTAAAGTTCGTTTTTTTTTTTAATTGTGAAAATATCTTACAGAGGAGTTACAATTACATGGGCAAGATAATGAGTACATTTCTTATCAAGCATTGTTGCCTACTCCTTTGTTTTCCCTTCCTATCCCTTCCCATCTCCCACCCCCCCACCCCCCCCACAAAGTGTAAAGTTCATTTTTTGACATAATGACTTGTACATCTCATTGTTGCAATGGGTCCACTTGTATCCCTATTTAAATGATTGCTTTTTTTTTCCTTCCCCTCCACAAATTATACCAACACCAAATACAGTGAAAGCAGGGGTTATACCGTGGGGGAGGAACATACAAAGCAACAAAGAAATCACCTTATAAATATGCTAGAAACAATCGCATGAAAAAAAAAAACATTTGAACACTTATCTTGGGGTTCATTTCCCTAACATCAACTTATCTGACCATTTCTGCTTGTCTCAGACATATACTATTAT